AAGACTGGTTAGACCTGTTCGAGCTCCACGCTACCGCTGCATCATGGTCGGAACGGGAGATGGTCATCAACTTTACTGACTACATCTCAGGTGAGGCATTCAAATTTTACCTCACCCACATCTTCGAGAACGATGAGTCTTGGAAAAAGATCAAAGAAGAAATGATCACTCGTTTCAAAGAATACGATGAATACCTGTTCATACCTCATCAGCGGAAGGCTTTTCAACTGACCCATCACAGTTACGCGAAGTCTTCCCGCAGTAAGCCTATTTTCCAAACGAGACCTCAGAGAAAATATACCACCATTGTACCATCATATGACTCTTCCGAAAAAACGTCACGCATTCGAACACCGACTGGTAACTTGCACGTCGCAACTGACAAGGTAAAGCCTCCGTATACCGAAAGGAATTTAGACCATTTCGGCAAAAGACTATACCTAAAGCCGTTTTTCTCAAGAACAGTGAAATCGGCATTTTCAACGTGTTCACTGCACCACAACACTTCACATTTTACTGAACCACCCGAATTCCTTGATGCTTCGTGTCACACACAAGGCCCAGATGGTTTCGAGCGTGTGACGGAATTCACGCGTGACGAGCTAGTGAATCCTCATAATACCAGCCCCTACCCTGATGTTCCGGACCAGGGTCGTTCGACAGACATTGTCAGCCTAACTACGCTGCAAAAAGAAAAACATACGCCATCAGAACCACTTGAAGCCATGTCTGTTGTGCTCTCATCGTCAAGTGACAACACACATGTGAGTCAAAGCATTGCAGGAATTTCGAATCCACCAACGCCGGCGCATTGTCAACTGACAGAAGCATTTACAATCACGGATGACTCACAACCATCTTGGGAGCGTTCTCATCAGCCTGTCACGCTGCTTTCATCACAGGACAAGCCTAGCAGTACAGTGTCGACTACCGACAATCTACTCGTTCCATGTCCCAGGAAGTTTCCGTAAACACACTTTAGCTTCACAGGAGAGTGCAGCAGTCCGGTAACTGCTGGAGTTCTGGTGGGCGAGGCTGACTGTTGCGTACTGGAAAACACAAGTACACCTTGAAGATTGAAACTGCAGATGATAAAACTGACTGTATACTTGCAAAGAATGAACGTGGTGCGAAGGCTTTGGAGCACGATCAGCATGATTTGCGTAGGCGTCGTGCTCTTTGCCTTGATTGGTACACATCACGACCGGCTTTATAAATAGCTATTTATAAAGCCGGTCGTGGTACACATGCAGTGCCACCCGTCTGTGTGTTTGTTGACCAAGACTGATGCGGTGATTTCTACGTCCTTCCGTAATACAGGGTGTGGTTTTGTGCCTTCTTCGTCGCTTTGTGTCCTGTTGTCTGAACAGCTTTGATTGTAGACTGAATCTTGATCTCTTCTGGAGAAAACTTGTGCAATGTTCCTTTTTGCGAAAATGTCTTGAATTAGAAGATTTGTTTGTCTTAAGCAAGACATATTTAATTTGTCGTCGCTTCACTTGACCCGCTTGTAGACGTCTTTGTTTAATCCTCGTGCATTTTTCCAAAGATTTTTTCGTTCGTAGTCGTCCTTGCTGGTGTAGCCCATGGAGACTCTGTTGTTCTTGGGCTTGCTTCTGCTGGCATTGATAGTGTTCATGTGGTAGGAGCTGAGGTGGCAGCCTATTTTGACCATGGCACTGATTTTCTGGGCAACTTGATGTGGCGTCCAGTAGGCAGATGGTAGTCAGTGGACTGTTATGCAGCATTTCGGGTAATGAAGGTTGTGCGCTCGAATTTACTGGAGACTTGTAATGCCATCATCACCATCATCATTTCTCAATCACCGCGCCGCGCCTCTCGCGCAGCTGATGCTAGCTCGAGCTGCGCGAGGATTAGAACAAGCTAGCGGACTTGGTGTGTCGGACGTGGAAAGCCACGCGGCTCCGTTTCAGGCGTGGAATGAAGTGGCGAGGAGAACGACACGACCACGTTGGCCTCGCTACATAAGCAGGCCCCTCTCCTTATATATATATATATACTATATATATATATATATATATATATATATATATATATATATATATATATATATATATATATAAGGAGATATATATAAGGAGATATATATAAGGATATATATATATATAGATTGGTAGAAGCCGAGAAGGAAGAAGTGAGAACGGATTAAACATGGGGTATGCGCCAGGCCACGTCGCCCATTCATCATAGCGTCACACAAGTCGACAGGATGGAGACCTGCCTGCCCCTTCATCAGTCATTCATCACGACCATACATTGACCACCGAATTATCGCCTAGGAGGACAACGACCAGCACCATGACAGAACCATCGGCTGACCTCGACATCCCCAAGTACACCGGATCAGCGGACGACGGACCCGTACAGGACTGGTTCAACCTGTTCGAACTCCATGCTACCGCTGCATCTTGGTCGGAACGGGAGATGGTTACGAACTTCAGCGACTGCGTCACCGGTGAGGCATTCAAATTTTACCTAATTCACATATTCGAGAACGACGAGTCATGGCAAAAAATCAAAGAGGACATGATTACCCGTTTTAATGACTATGACCAAGACTTACTCATTGCCAACTATCTAGAGACAACTGCACACTATCATCAATTTCCTAAGCAGTCCTCAAGCATTATAAAGTCCAGCGCGAATCGAGAAGTGCCTCAAGACGAAGTGGCACATGCGTTTACTTACAGAAGGCCATGCGTATATTGGGAAAAACCCAACCGTCAAGCGCAGCTCCCTCGTGCACGAAAGTCGGCATTTCCAAAGTCGTGGCACCAAAATACGACACGAGACGTCGCTCACCCTACTGATGCCTTTCATGCTTCGTCTCGCATACATAGTCCACCTTCCGGTTTTCCATCACGCGGCTCTTCAAGCGTTCCTGACGCTCACCGTTTGCCCCATAAGGGCATCATGTTCACGATAGACGAGTTGACACACCGAGAAAATACACAGTTGAGCCATGCTCCTTCTGCACGGGTTCATGTATCACCGTCCGGTGCACACACCCCCGAGAGTCCAAACAAAACAGAAGGCTCGAACGCATCGAACGTCGCACGCTACCAGGCGCAAGAACTACTCGCAGTGAACAGCGAAAAAGAAGCCCCTGAAGAGCTTCGTGTCATTTCTGCGGCACCACAGACTTGCCAAAATCTGCAGTTCAAACCTAGTAATGCCATGTCACCTGTGGTGCCCACATGCAGAGCTCACCAATTCAGGAATCGAACAAATTCAGAAGTGCATGATACATCAAACCTCGCACACAGTTGTCTTTCGGAAGCGCCCGTAATGAACCCCGTCACCGAAGCCTCTGAAGAGCATGCTAGCAAGGATGACGCATTACCAACTATGCCAGACAAGCAAGACACCAGTTCACCATTCATCAGCTGCCTACAGGACGCGTCAAACACCGAAGGAAATGAACGCCCCATTCCGGAAAGGGCGCCACTACAGCCATCTCTTGAGCAACCTCAGGAAAGCAAGCAAAGCCAAGTTCATAAACTCATGCTACAACGAGAGAGACTGCAACGAGGACATCGACGAACGCAAAATTCAACGGAAGCGCGCTCACCAATAAAAGAACATCGAAAATAAGATCTCTAAACCAAAGACCAATTCAAGATGTCAGACACTTTCGCACAAAGAAAAGTCACCAGAGACACTCCCTGCCTCAGCTATTACACCGACTGCACCACCACAGAAAACGCCGAGAAAGACGTGGAAGCACTGCTTGCACACCGCAAGCACCCAGGCACTTCATCACATTCTGTCAAAAAGCACGAAAGCAAGAAGCACCGGGATTGCACCATTCACGACGAAAAATACAACCCCGACGACATCCGAGCTGCCAATGCAACAATGCGTTCCAACCTTGCTCAGTCCCCAGAACAGTTCAAGCAGTATTGTCAGTGTTTATGTGTAGCCCACTCTGTCCGGAACGCAACAGTCAAGCTCGTCCACCAGAGTCGTCATAAAAATCACCGGACTGCTCCCTCGGCCTTGAAGATTTAGTGAGATTGTGGAACTCCGTCGGGACGTGAAACTGCGAATTTGGCCATTATTTTGTTTATTTTGTTTTCAATTTGTTGTTGTAACCGGTGCCAGCTTTCGGGGGGAGGGGGAATCGTGTGACGTATGAAGCGATGATTGGTAGAAGCCGAGAAGGAAGAAGTGAGAACGGATTAAACATGGGGTATGCGCCAGGCCACGTCGCCCATTCATCATAGCGTCACATATATATATTGCCATTTAGTTGTGAACAAGTGCTGTCACCAACAATAGTTAAAACATATTATAATTTGGCTTATGTAGAAAAAAAGAGTAACTGAATGTACAATCGCAATTCACTACCAGCCGTGGGGCTGCCGTTGGACAGCAAGTGTCGTGTGCTTGTGTTACCTCTAGGTAACAGAAGCAGACGACACCTGCTATGCAACGTCCTGATCACACGTACCCGCTGCAGCGCGTGGCATTTTGACGCTTCGCCCCTCTCCCTATGAAGACAGAGGGCGCGCAACCTCACGTAGTTGCGCGTCCTCCTCCTTTGTAGAGAGAGGGCACGGCCCCACTCCAGAAGCGCGCTGTCGCGCTGCAACGGGTACGTGTGATCAGGCCTTTACAATGCAGGCTGTGTTGACGCGAGCTGTGCAACAGCGTTGATTCTAGGACACCGTGAACTGCCCTAGCTGCTAGCTGCAGATATCACAATTGGTGACATACTAAGCTGTGACAAGTGTGGAGTCGCAAGTACACTTGGAACTGGAGCGCTCCTATTTACCAGACCCTACTCAACCCGAAGCATAAATATTTAAAGCATGTAATAAATAATAAAACTAAATTTAAAAAAAGGTTATGTAAAACGCCCGCAGCGCCGTTTTTGACACAAACACCAATAGCTACAGAGGCGCGGCGGCGCGTCAAGTAGGCACACTACACTTTTTTTTTACATCACGTCTCGGCACACGTCTGTGCTTTTTTTTTTGAGGGGGAATAGCTTGTGGAATTCCCGCTATCTTCCTAGCGAAAATAGTTTCCTCTCATCGCATCTCTAATCATGCACTCGCGGCGAGTGACAAGCGCTGACATTCAATGGTCGAGAGCGACCGGATAAAACTGAGTAAACTTCGCGCCCAGTACTCAAAGGTGAAAGCTGTTGTGACCCACGGGCTAAAATGGTATGCATCTTCGCACGACTTTGTGGTCGTGAAACTTTTTTTGGTTTTGTTTGCCCCCAAGTGACTCTGCAATTATGGCACACAGCTTGGTCCTGAAATCGCTTTCTTTCACTTAGGCGGTCGTGTTTTGGGTCTCAGAGAAACGTTCGAGACGCTTTAAATGAGGTTGGTCTGTTGCCCCATTAGTACTTTCGACTTTACAAGCTTCGAGCGCAAGCGCTTGGATTCTGCTCGGATCTCTCATTTGCTTCACAGCGATGTGATAAGGGGCGTTCCATTCAAGGACCTCTTCCACATTACTGTCATTTCGCTACGCGCGTAGCATTCCTTTCAAACTGCACTGTTCATCTGTTACCGCTATTAGACGTCGTGTGTTGTACACCTTCTTTCTTTTCTCTTTTTCATCGCGCCTCTCGACGGCAGGAGTTGAGGTGGTCCTCCTACAATGGTCAAGCGATAGTCTGATGTTATCGAAGAAAAAAGACCTCAAATATCTGCGAGATGGTGTGGCAGGCAAGTACGTCAAAAAGGAAACACCGCCGCACGTACCAGGTCAGTTGCCGCAGCTCGATACAAAATGTGCACGTTTTCGCGCGGTGCTTTTTCTGCATTTTGTGCCTTTATGTTGGCCCAGAAGGAGTAAATCGTAAGCTACGTCGAGTATAGTGTAGTGCATGTATGGCTGTGTTTTGCACTGTTATAGGAGTGAAAGTTGAGGCGATGTCAAAAGTCGACCGTACATGCACACAGTAGAATGCATATATCGTTAATTTTTATCAACTCCCAGAAAATTCCTCTCTAGTGCTATTTTTGAGCATCAAAGTTAGATTGCAGTAACGCGAGAAGCATGTGTTAGCTTGCTTCACGCACTAAACCCAGCTGGCTGTCGTGCACTCCTTTTCCTGCGCAGTTTTGCATTTTTACACAATTACGTGGTAAAACTGGAGTAAGTGAAAAAAATCAACTCTTATATGGTGCATCTGGCAAAATGTGTATATATGTAAACTAGGACATCAGCACAGCCTTTCCTAGCACGCCCATCTCGCATTGTGACTTGTCAGCCTACGGCTAATTAAGGAGTACAGTACTGTCAAGTTGAGTTTTGCAACCTAATTGTCGCACTGCTCTTCTAAACATTGGTAAACTGTTCCAGACATCTTTTTTCCCCTTGCAACCTATCGGGACAGCCATTTATTTAACATGACATTTGGTTCACCTGACAAGAAGTAACTGTACTCCCTTTTTATTCAGTCTGACCTACGTAAATTGTTGGCTTCATTGCAAGCTTTTTATTGTAATGCTCTAAAGCACTCTGCATGGCAGTACTTTTTGCACATGTCGTGTGGTCAGTTCATTCTTTTAAATTTAGTTTTGTTGATTTGCATGTTGTAGTTTGTTGCTATGTCATTAAACATGGCGCTTCTGCACTTATCTGTAAAAAGAATATAATCGCAGCACAACTACGCTTTCGTGTAGAGTAGCTGTAAACATCGTCAAGCGATAGTCATGACTACATTTATTTATCTGTATGCGTGGATACCTAGGTATTGAAGTTCCCATATGCTTGATGAATTGCATGTATGGGCTATATTACGTGAGACATATGGGTGCCCTGTCTTGGGCTGGTAAAAGGATATTTTCTGATTTCTATTTTGTGATGAGAATTAATAAGAAGTCATAAAGTGTTGAATGATCATCCCAACAGTTATCATGGGTATGCATCAACCGTAGCACTGTTGGTTTAATTGCTAAAGGTGCAAAACTGCAAGGTTAACAGGCCATTATTGCGGCATTGAAACCAACCCATCAGCAAAATAGTCTCTATAAATGATGCATCAGGACACCAGCACATCAACTATAAGGGCAATACTTTAGCTTCTTCATTTATAGTCAGTAATGAAGTTTATAATTTGCAATGGAGTTGACATTTTAGTACACTGGAGCACCGACTATAGGGGAAGCGTGTCACTGAAATTCAGCTAATAAGGCACACTGACAGCTAGCTGTAAAGCACACTGACATAAACACAAAGAAAAAAAAAAGGGTATGAAAAAGTTCGTTTTCATCCTGTTACGTTCCTGTCTGTGCCGCTTGTCTTTCTGTAACGTCGCCAAAATGTCAATTTTTTTTCATGGCGCTCGGCGACAAGTTTCTTATTGCTGTGCTGTCATATTAACTGGGTTCGACAGTTCAAGTCTACAACTGCAAATAATGTACCGTGTTTCAGTGGTGAACACCTGGACTACCGCAAATCACCGGCAGAACCAGCGGTCGCCCGAAGAGGTGCAGGAACACTCCGCTTCGGAGCCTGCTAGCTTGGCCCAGAAATGTGCTCGGGCCTGTCAGAATCGGGCATGCCAGCAGAGCCTGTCTCTGCCTCAGGGTGCCTCCGGAAATGCCAAAGAGCACAACGCTCCGCTGGGGCCAGTTTCTCAGGTCCTGCGTCTCCGGTTCCTGCCACGCAGCATTCTCATCCAAGCACGGCATCATCTTCGTTGGCAGTTGGGGGTGCATCCCTGGGTGTTCCCGAACAAAACTCGGCCAGCTCGTCGCCAAAGGCGAGGCATGTGGCGACCAGCACCGTCGGGTGAGGCCTCTCATTACAGAGTTGCTGTACTATTTGTGTTGGTTAGGTGTTAATTGGTTTGTCATTATTTTCTCTGGCATCATGAGCCATTCATCGTTTCTTGCAGGAACACTAGAAATAAAACTTGTGCAGAAATTAGTTCTTATGGAAATGATACATAAAACTATATGTATACATAAGGGAGGGCCTTTCTTTGCAGTGGGCATATTCAGGCTGTTGTTGCTGATGATGATTACAATGTGGATCTGGCTAATTTTTGTGTCAAGTTATGACATTGTGGCTCTGCTTAGTGCGATTTACTCTGCACCATTTCTGAGCAGTAATTGCTTATATATCCCCTTCAGTGGCGATGCGTACGTTTATTATGCAACTTGTTTATGCTTCGTGTGTGAACTTGTGGTCAAAATTGAGCAACATAATTTGTATTTGGATCATTTGAGCCTTCTCCATTGTTAACTATGTCCGGACATAACCACAGTGTTCTGCGTATGACTGCTACCAATCGCTTTGGTGAAAGCACAATGATGTTTGACAGGTCCTTCGACTTGTCACATTTCAGGAATTTTTATTTGAAGTGAACGCAACCAAAAATTAATTATGGACACATTTGTCACCCGTGACATTATTGATTTTATGTTAAAGTAGAACATGACAGACTGCAGGCTAATTAAATATTTATTTACATGCTAATTACAATTCATGACTAAAACTCGCAGAAAACTACTCATTGCTTCATCAGATGACAAATGGCTGAACAGACAAGTCCTTGTGTCATCTCGTCTGTTTTCCCATTCCGTTGTCTGAACTTTTCGCAGTGAGAATGTAAACCGTCCGAGTCCAACTCTGAAGTTCTATTCATTTTGTAGCATTTCGCTATCATCCCTCTCGTGTGTAACAACTTTTTTGTTTCGTTTGCTCGCAGGGGTGTGAATGTCAGTGTGGCGGCAGCGAGGCCTATCGCCACGGTACCGCAGCTGGTACCGCAGCAGGTGGTACTTGTCTCACCGCAGGGTCAGGCGCACAGCACTCACGTGTATGCCAATCCTTACGTCTCGTCTCGACCGTCATTTGCCCATGAGTCACCCATGCACCTGCTGAAGGGCAGTGCCGGTCCGTTTTTCGAAGGCGAGTCGGCTGCTCTTTGCATTCTTTTGGGAGTGTTCGATGCTCACGTGCATTTCGAGAATTGGTTTCCATATCTTCCAAAAACTTCATTTCGTCTTGGCAGTCACAGGATTAGCCTCCAATGCAGAAAAAGTGGGTATTACGGCCATTTTATGGCATATTATCTTTTATAAGCAAGAGTGTTATTAACACAAGCTTCAGCGAATCGGCTCTCAGCATTTCCCCTAGGTGGCGAAAGGAAATTTTTTTTAGTAGCTGAAAAATTTGTCCTGGTCCCCAGATCATCACAGATTTTCTTGACTGTGACAGGAAAAAATATTATTGCTGAAAGAAGTTCTTTCATCAAAACAGGCCTGCGTTCACATTTATTTGAAGAAGAATGTGATTGCATTTCGAACCAAAATTCAAGTGTCACAACCACATAAAAATCAAAAACAAGAAAATGATTCTGAATAGGGGCTCACGACTCGAAGGTCTTGTCAGGTCATGTGAATTGTTTTTCAGTGATTGTGTTTCTTTTTGTTTTACCTCTCTGCTTTAAGCCCCGCACAAACTAAATATTTCTTTGTTACAGCTGATGTAGCTGCAGTGCTTGTGTTTTTGGTTTCATTTGAAAAGCGATAAATGCCATTTAAATAGAAACTGGCGAAACAAAGTTCATATTCAGTTTGCTATAGCTAGGACTGTGTGTTTCCGGAGTTTTCTATTTTTGGAGGAAATTAGGCGTTCATCGGAATTTATTTCATTTATTCTCCTAAATTCGATGTTTACTTTTGGACTATGAGTGGTTGCAATGCGAAACTATGAGTGTTTCTTTTTCTTGTGAAAATGTGCTGCATTGTTGCTAACAATACTGTTTTGTTCAACCTTTTCTTTTTTTCTCACTTCCTGCTAATTTAACTTGTTAATAATACTGTTTATAGACACTGCAGTAAAGGGGGGGGGGAGCAGGAGTTAAAAGAAGCTGCTTGTCAGCTTTTTTTCCAGGCTCTATCTTCTTTATGAAGGATAAAGGACTTATTATTATTATTATTATTATTATTATATTATTATTATTATTATTATTATTATTATTATTATTATTATTATTATTATTATTATTATTTCAATACTCTGGTATCTTAGATGAAATGGTATCTTTACGTGCAAACATGTGTACGCACAAAGTGTATTTCATATGTCTGGAAGGTTTGAAGGGGCAAATGCATATACATACACGAACAAATACGAGTACAGTCTTTACGTTTGTTTGAATTGCAATCTTAAAGCTTGTTGGAATAGGTGTGAGTGTACCTTACGAGGCTGCTGCTGTCTTTGGAGGTGTGCTGCTTTTGATTGATGATTGTCCGCCTTGAAAACACGATCGCCTTGAAGATGATTGTCCACCTTTGAATGTTGAAAATGTCCCTTTAAAATGTGAGCTTATCGAATAAACACGAGTTGTCAACAGATTTATCGGCAACTGTTTATAGGATTTTTTCGAACTGCTCCAGAAACACGGAGCCCTAGCTGTGACCAGTAGTTCGCTACATCAGTGTTCATTATAACATAACTCAAACCTCAATATAACAAAGTTGAATATTGCACAAAAATAAGCCATTTATATCCAAAAATTTGTTATAAAGGTATGTTCCTAATACCATGTCTATTGCACGACCATTTTTCATTTACTTCGTTATAACCAGTATTTCATTATGTTCGAGTTTACTATATCAATGATGGAGTGTAGTTCAGCTGTAGTGCCTGATTTCCATCCCTACAGATTCTCAACACCAGCAGCAGCAACAGCAACCTGTGCAGTCATCACTGACGATTGGCGGAGCTACGGGAGGCATGTCGGCGGATGAACGGCTGGCTCTTGACTCGGCGTTGCAGGACAACTACTACCACCAGATGGAGGAGAACTACCAGATCCAGCTTTACCACCAGCAGAAGCGGCAGCAGTACGCACAGCAGGCTGCCCACGCCCAGTCAGCCCTGCACTCCATCGAGCACCACCAGCCCCTCCACAGTCAGGGTCCACCGCACATTACTCGGGTGTCCGGTGAGGACTTTTCGGTGGCGATCTCCGGCACATTACGGTGTCGGGTTTGTTTGTACATAGCCATTGAAGTAAGCGTCGCGTAAGCTACAATGGTAGCCTGCGGTAGAAGCTTAGCTGGCTTGAGGTGCAACATGATTTTGTCAATTATAACATCCAAGTGTAAATAACCATTTTTAAAGGTGATGTGACACTAACCTCAGTTGATCTTTGAGGGTAGAAAGCCCTGATGTACAGTCAACCACAAAAGTTTACGCCTCTCGGGAGGGCATATCATACTGCCTCTCCGCACCACCTAGTGTTGTGCCATTTACTGCTGACACAGCGCTAGGCCGGAAACGGGTCTTTTTGCTACTGACTGGTAAATCAATATTTTAGTGCCGCACAGAACATTGTTAGTTTGTTATTATCACGCAAAGCACTTACTGCCGTATGAGCTTCCCACTTCTACTTCGATAGCAGAATCAAAGCTACGATGATGTGCTGATTGGTGGATGTCACTTTGCCAAAATTGGGACTGGTAACAGTAATGCTCATTGACTGCTTTCGAAACCGAAGCATGCAGCCCCTGCTGCCGAAGAGTGTGCTGTATTAACTAGTCATAAACGGAAGATTACTTGCCCAGTAAAAAAATAGTCAGCCATTGATAGAGATGGATGCATCTCGTGCGTAGCGCTGCTGTTGATCGACACTTACGTGGTAGAAACGTCGCGGAGCGACTCTTGGCCATGCGATCGCATTGTGGTCGACTGCCCAGTCAAACCTTAGAACTGTGGTATTACGTCGATACGATTCTACATATTTTTTTTGGCCTCATATGTTTTTATTTTCGCTCCCAGCCAACCTCTTTGGTTATTGTGGTTTTTGTGTAATATGTTTTATTTTTCAGTTCCCATAAAAAATGTACCAGAGCAATTCTGCTGTATATTGAAGTTGTACTTGCAGTGCAAAACTACTTTGTTGCATTGCAAGTTTCATTATGTCAATAATTCCGTGTCTCAGTAGTGAAAATAATCTTGCAGGCATGTAGAATAAGTAAAACCTACATATAATACGCACAGATGTAATGGATTGTCAGTTACAATTAGATGAAGAGTAGTGTTGTTATCGTTAGTGCTCTGAATATACAGTAATACCTGGTTAACTCGGAAGTCGTAAAAACCAGGCAAAATTTTGAGATAAACAGATTTTCGAGGTAAGCAAAGTTGCACTAATCGCCGGGAAAAATGAGTGCTTTTCAGAAAAATCACTGCTACTTACTGGCTCATCAGCGGCAGTTTCTAAACTTCTCGTGCAGGTTCAAAAGAGAAAAATATAACATACAAGAGACTTTAACCAGCTGGGTTTCGCCCAGTTAAATTTGCAGGTCCTGAGCGTCTGCCTTCTCCATCATTATCGCTGTGGTGACGGGATGGTAGGCGGCTCTGGCATTTCGCAGCCATATCATCAACTGCAGTTTAACTGTCTGGAACTTCGACCCTCAAACCCACTTCCACTGGCTGGAGGTGCTCTGCTCAAATCCATCCAGCACCTTCTGCTTGTTTTTCAGCACCTGTCGAAAGCGTAGACGAAGGGATGCCGAGTTCTAGCGCGATGCTCGATTTCGTTCGTCCGCCTTTCTCCACTTCCTTAATTAGGGCAACCTTTTTTTCTAGCGTTAGCGACTTGCACTGCTTTGGTGCCATGCTTGCCACACTCGCGCTATGTTGCCGCTCTTCACAGTCAGCGAAAAATCCACACTGCTCAGTTTGCGCAGATTAACGTAAATCACACCTCAGGAATCACACTGAACTCACAGTCAGTGATAAATTCATACTATGTGTTTTGTGCAGCTGAAGAGAAATCACACCTAAGGGAAAATCATGAGCACTGCACAAAGCGAACGAGACAAATTAAGCCAAGCATGGGCAAAGGGCCTCCTTGCTCAGCGCATGTGTCATATACGTGCCGCAGGGTTGCTTGACAATGTTGATATGTCGCTAGGTTGAGACATCGCATACTTCGCGTTAGTGGAAAGCATCGACGTAGTGGAAGGCATGGCTAATTAAGAAAAAAAAATCGACGGACTTCAGGTGTGCAGCATTGTGCAAATCTTGTGAAATGGTCCGGTGGCAGAATTTTCATTCCACGCCCAGTCAAGATTTCGAGTTATCTGCAATCCGACCCAAAAACACATTTAGATAAAGGGAAAAATATCACGGGACATATAGGAAAATGTTCGGTGCCGTGGAAAATTTTTACTTAGCCCATTTTTCGAGATATGCGAGTTAGAGTTAACGAGGTATTATTGTACATCTATAGCCAATTCGGATATAACAAAGGCATCTTCACACAGAATGCGTCCTCTCTGTGATGAGGTTCAGCTGAAGTGTTGCCTTAGTGGCAGTCTGATGTGGTTGCTTCACTGCGAGTTAACACATTAGGCAACAATATGATCAGACAAATTATGGAAGCTTGAATTAAGTTGCATAATGCTCGAAACAACGGAGCCGCTCCTTTGTGATTATGAAGTCTAATTTGGTGGCTTTTTAATTACTTTTAGGCTTTGTTTAGGCAAGTTTATCTCCTAATCCATCCCATATTTCTTACTGTCTGTAGCCATGGGTCAGTCCTTGAATATTCATAAACGCTATTGGGGACACCATCCGCTCTTCATCCTCATTGGTTAGGGGCAGGGACGGTGGTTGGACGAGGTACGTGAAACTATTGGTGACACTGAATTGCGGAACCTCTCTACACCGGGCTGTTTCTTGGCAAATCCTACTCAATTGTACTTCTCCGTATTCGCTCTTTTCTTGGGTGTCCCAAAGCGCTTGCTAACCTTTTGCGTGCTTTGTGTTGCTTCAAACCGAGCTTAGGGTGGACAGGTTAGAGTCGAAGCACAACCTGTCAACAGACCTCAATGCTCAAATTTCATAGCCAGGAACTTGTGAGCAAGCCTGGGAGTGTGTCCCTCGTTGAAAGTGCGGGCCTTTTGTTCGCTTGTACTTGGCGCTAACCACGCCACGCGAACTGATTTGGCTCAAGTTCTTGTTTTTTACAGCTGAAGCGCAAAAAAAAGGTAAACAACGGACGGAGCGGACAACAAGGACGAGCGTTGTCCCTTTTGTCTGTTGTCTACCTATTTTATGCTTCAGCTGTAAAAAGGAATATGGAAGAACAATTAGCCCGCTCCCACAACTTGCTTCGTGTCCTTGCAGTGTTAGCTTCGCATTCTCGTCGAGTGTAGTCGAGGCCCCTTATTATTTGATTCCAAAACTGCGTGGATATTTTGTAAAAATTTCTGGATCCGAGAAGCTACTCAGAGGTACAAGTGCATCCTTTAGCAATGTTGAGTGTTGATAGCCATTCCGATAGCCCTCTTCGAAGATGTTCATTAGGCTTGATGTGTTACTTCCATAGGAGTGAGTGCAGCTGTGGTTAATCACTTTCATTTTGCCACTTTCAATTGTTTTTAATTTAATAAAAAGCTAGTAGAATAAGTTTTCCAAATGCTCGTCATCACCTGAAATTTCTTTACTGCCTCGCAGTACAGGCGTTTGTGGTACCTGGACTTGCCTACTGGTGCCATTGGAGCTCAGATAACTTTCATGTCGCTTATGGCCTTTGCAATCAGTGGCAATGCAGTAGATAATCATGGAGGTCACATGCGACCGTTCATGAGCATTGGGTCATTCGTGAAGCCGCTGTTCGCCAATTAAGCTGTATCAGCACATTTTAGTTTAGAAAAGATTACAATAAAAAAGTGTACTAAAAGAGGTCACGTGATCACCATCACCCACATGCTTGATTTTTTTCTTGTGAAGTGTCAAAAATGACTTTAGTGAACAAATAAGAATGCCAATCCGTATTTGATAAGAATAGCAGGGCTCGTTTTAGCCAATATGACACACAGTCTTTCCATTAATAGGGTTAAGTAACTCGAATTCTGAGCGAATCTTTCTTGCATTGAACCTTTGTGCATCTGTCCCTTTGTAGTTCATTTTTGCATGGTGCACTTACTGACATTGATGCTATTGTGTCATCAGGCTGCATTGTCCATTGCTGTGACTTCACGCTCCAGTTTCACACCAGTTGACAAGTGATAGCGTCACGTACCAAAACTTTCAAAATGGCCGCTTGTGTCATTAAGGGAGCCATGAAGTGGAATCGAGCTGAATAAGTTTTATTCGCGCAAAGTTTTGTACTGTGCCCGGAGCTAGGTTGCCAAGGATCCACCATTCAAGGAACATCTTCCAAGTTCCACAGCAGTGGTCCTTGCCTGCTGGGCGGCCTAGTCCTGGCCTTGCCATCACTCAGCAAAGTGCGTTGCTTCAGAGGGTCCTTCGGTTGTTGTCGTCCTTCCTGGTGGCAATCTTCATTTCTTGCGCATTCCCAAAGTACATGGGCCAAATTGGCTTGTTCATAGTGGCAGTGGAAACGTCATGATGACATGTATATGATGACCTCATCATTGAGTCGCCAAAGTCCAAAGGTTTATGGCTTTTCTTGTTTTTTCCCGACTCTGTGTAGTGAACGCGGGAGGCTCGAGCCCCATGAGCAGCAACAACAGCGTGAGCAGCCAGCACCAGCAACTTCCATCGCCGGTGTCGATATCGGCGACCACGGTGGTCACGTACACGCCAGGTATCTTCAGCTCCAGCCAGCTCCTGCCCACGGCCATCACGAGCGCAGCCGCCACTGCGCTTCCTATCACGAGTGGCCACCTCGCTGTCTCCTCCTCCGCTGCTGCTGCCGTGGTGACAACCGCATCTCCGACGTCCAGTCATCCGCAGCTCCTTAGCGTCGCTCCGCAGAACGCGCCGTCCGCCGGTGGTAGCAATACATCTTTGCAGAGGTTAGAGTCCTGCTTGTCTGTCTTTCACAATGCAGCTGTCTTAGTCTAGCCTGTGCTGCCATCATTATAGTAGTACTAGTAGTAGTAGTATTCATGCAGGTTGTGACCAAAGGGGACTGCACAATGAAATAACAAACAAAATGATGATGATGCTAAATGATAATAATGATGCCGCTGCTCTTGCTCATGTGCAGCTGTGATAGTGATATACTTTTTGCATGAGTAGGCTGTTGAATTGGGCTATGGCTGCACTTTAACGCTACTTAGCATTTCAGCGCGACCCTGAATGAGCATATCATTGCGCAGGATCCACTTGGCTAAACCTGAAGAACAACATAACTACAAAAGTCCTCAGTGCAAACTCTTCCTGAAATTTTGAGCACAATGTAGTGCCTGACGAAAGGGCTACAACTTCACTGCATGGTGGTTTTCACCTCGTGAAACTGACTACAATTTTTTATTTAATATTTCATAGCAGGTAGGTATACTGAAATACAGTCACACTCGAACCAGCTGTGGTGAGCTCAACAGTTTTGGCACCATGCTGGTAAGTTCAAGGCTTCCAGTTCGCTCTCGGCTGTTGTGGCACCCATCTTGATGAAGGAAAAGTGCGAAAACGCTTGTGCACATGTGGCGTATTTCAGTGGTCGCATCTGGAGTGGCCTCCAAAATGCTGGAGCGAAATGGAGGATTGTGACTGTCTGAATCTACCAGCGAAAAGCTGAAATTCTTTGCAGAAGACCATATCAGAAGTTGTTTGCGCACTTTGTGCAAATAAGTGTTGAACATGGTGCCCCCAATTTGTGCTCTGTACATTCCCCTGGTGGACAAAGCAGCCTGTAACAAGAGGGAGAGAGACGTGAGAGTAAGTCGTGAAGGCGGCCGATCTGGGCCAGGTCAATCTCGCCACTTTATTCGTAGGGCTTGAAGCGGAGCGACGGCGGCTGCTAGCGTGTGACACGCCAGGCGTGCGAACCTGTCCTGTAGCTCATGCAGCTCGAGCTAGGCATGAACTGGGTGATAGGCGCAGCGTGGGGGATGATAAATGATGACGGTGATGATAAATGACGATGATTGATGGTGCTACAGATTACCCCCCCCCCCCCTCTCGCAGAAATGAACCCGGAATGAAAACAATGAGAGCGTATATAAAAAGTGTGCAGGCCGAGAAACAAAAGGGTCCGTGAGCAGTCCAGTTTGTCCATGGCTGGGGAAAACCCAGGTCGGTCGAATTCACCTGGAAGCCTTTTGCTTTGACAACAAGGTGTTTCATATCATAATTTTGCCAAGTATTACTCTAAATTAAATTCTAAATACGAAATTCTGCTCGGAGGATATTTCACACTATCCGAAATGGAGCCTCTTCGTTGACTCAAGTTTCATTGCAGTTTGTGTTTACTATAATTGACTTCTCGTATGCAGTGAGAAGTATTTCACTAAAACTAGCTAGTTGTAACTTTTTGTTGTCACACATAGAAAGTACATTTTATATATTCACTTTCTTTTCCTGCACACGAACTGTTGTGTAGTTGCGAAGGGCCTTCAGGTACTTTCAAGCTATTTGCAGTAGCTTTTCTCGCGAAAAGAGGAAGTGAAGTTGGGATTCGGGTTCAGCTGCAGCTGCAACGTCAATCCAGCGCTTTTCGTCTAGTCGTCTCAGTCACTTGGGCATTCTCGTGTAACTCTTGAGTTTCTAGCCGATCATTTTGTCAGATAATCTGCTGGGGTGGTCCAGTAGTTATGGGCTTCAACTGCTCACCCGAAGATTACAGCGCCAAATCCCAGCTGTGTTGGACACATTTCAATGTAGGTGAAATGCTTGAGGTTTGTATTACTTTGATGAAGGTGCCCTATCAAGTTTTCCAAGTGGTCTGAATTACCAGAGCCCTCGACTGCGGCGTCCCTCTTGAACACGTTGCGGTTTGGGACATAAGACTACAATTATTGTTACATTATTGGTTAATCGACGATGGCAGTCTTGACAGGCTCCGGGGGTTGCTGCACGCAGATTTCAAAACAGCGGCGGAGGCTCGCAGCCGCGGCTGGCCGCCAAGAATGCGGAGGAGCTTCCCCTGCCGCCGGGCTGGACCGTGGACTACACGATGCGTGGCCGGCGCTACTACATTGACCACAACACCAAGACCACCCACTGGAGCCACCCGTACGAGAAGGAGGGGCTGCCCACCGGCTGGGAGCGCGTCGATTCTCCTGACCATGGTGTCTATTATGTCAAGTGAGGGTTACGTTCGTACTGTTCTTGTCATATTATTGAACTACATTAGACTCTCAGTACACAGATTGCCGCTTAAATGGAACAACTGCCTCTAGCACGATTCATTCCATACTTTAATCGCGACTCCCAATTCATCTCTCAGTAAACAGAATACCCCGTTTAATGGAATGCATTTTCCTTGTCCTTTTAGGTTTCGCTTAACGTGTGTCTACTCTGTGTACATTCAAATCTCAATATGATGAATACAAATATAACGAAATATTGGTTATAACAAAGTAAATGACTGAAAGCCTTGCAAGATATACATTGCTAGGAATATACCTTTATAGCAAAATTTTGGATATAACAAACTAGATTTTTTGCACAATGTAGCTTTTTTATAATGAGGCTTGAGTATAAATGCTAGCATTACAATACAAACGTGACATCAATTTTTTTCAGTATAACGACTGGTATGAGTGATTGCCTTGCGTAACCACACCTCGCTACAAATCCAAGCACTAAAGCTAATGTTAGCTTTGATGTCCGAGTCCAAATTATGCTAATATGACACGAACTGAAAAATCTGGAAGGGAAAGTTTGTGAATTATTTATCCCCGAGTTTTCACGTTTAAATCAGTGGGTACTGTTGCGCTTCCCTTCGTGGGTACTGTACAGACTATTCAAATCACTCGTAATTGACACGTTGTGGGATGGAAAGCCATGGAGTGTCATTCCATGTTTTTTCTTACCACTTCAGTGCTTATCTTCGTGTGAACTCTCTCTCCCCTCCACCGTTTTAGCCACATCACCAAACAAGCACAGTACGAGCACCCGTGCGCCACCCAGTACGGACAGAGCGGCAGCTCGCCTCCCATGAGCCACCTGCCACCTCCCCGGCACACTAACTTTCATCAGCACAGCGTGCTGGTGCCAGCGAACCCTTACCTCACTGAAGGTGAGTTGCAGCCAAAATTTATTACTTGATTCTGTTGCGATAATAGTGCTCAAACCTCGATATAATGAACCCAGATATAACGAAGTACCGTAATTACTCGAATCTAACGCGCACCTTTTTTCCGGTTAAGTGAGTTCATAAATCGTATGCGCGTTAGAATCGAGTACAAAAAAAAAAAATGAATACGGTCATTCTATTGCCATCGGCATTCCAATATGGCCGCCCCCTACGTGTGTCGGCGTGGCGCGTCGGCCATTTCTGCTTATGTGTTTCCTATGTGCGGCACTTTGTACGTGTGCTGAGGAGTTCGTCATCTTGGTGTGCATTAGCATTGACGGCATAGAAGGGCCGACTCCAAAAACTCAATGAGTGCACCACGATTCCACTTTAAAAGAAAAGTCATCGCGTGTGCCGAAACGGACGTAAATCGGGCTGCATTGCGGTCGTTCGGAGTTCCCGAAACGTGCGTGCGGGACTGGCGGAAACAAAAGCAGAATATTGTCGACAGCAAACATTCACGCAAAGTCTTCAGTGGACCACAGCAGGGTTGGTTTCCCCAAATTGAAGAGCTGCTCGGCGAGTATGTGATTGAGCTGTGAGCGGCACAGCGGCCTGGGACGACAGAACTGCTCCTAGTGCAGGCTATGCAGTTAGCCTTAGAAAAAGGGCTAATGCGAAGCCAGTTTAAAGCGAGCAGGTGCTGGCTAACTAACTTTATGAAGAGGAAAGGCTTTTCCTTACGAAGGCGAAAGGGCATACGCCAAAAGTTGCCGGAGAAGTACGAAAAAAAGCTTCAGTTTTCAGAGGTTCATCCTAAACTTGCGGCACAACAATGGCTCCCTACTTGGGCAAATCGGGAATGCCGATCAGACGCCTCTTTACTTCGACATGCCTGGCACCACAACCATCGAGAAGAAGGGGGCGAAGCAAGTTCGGGTGCTGACATTGGGCCACGGTAAAACTAGAGTGACGGCAATGCTCCGTTGCACGTCAGATATGCACAAACTTCCCCCGTACCTCATATTTAAATGGAAGATGCTCCCGAAAGGAGTCTTTTTCCTGAGTGGTGTGATCGTGTGGGCCAACGAGAAAAATAGGTGCGCGTTGCAATCGATGTCTTACTTCTTTGTTTTCGTCGTGGAAACTGGGTGCGCGTTACAATCGAGGGCGCAGTAGAATCGAGTAAGTACGGTAAATGAAGAGTAGCTCTGACCTAGATATGGTGCTCTAAATATGTTTTTATAACGAAATATTTTTGTGGCAGGTGTGACTTTGTTATAATGAGGTTTGAGTGTGTATGTCATTATGGTATACTACTTTTGATTAGCCTCCCGGCTTATCAATGATAATGATAAGGCTGACCGAAAAAACGACATTGTGTCCCCTAGACAGTTTTGTTGCCAGCCAAGGAAGATCGGGCACTCCCTCCGAATCCAGAAAATTGCGTGTGTTTCCAGTTTTATAGGCAAGACAACTAGCCACTGGAAGCCAAACTTTACCCAAATCAACGAAGAATCCAACATGGTGGCTTTCAAAATCTGATGACTTGGCTTATAACGAGTGATTTAGTCTAGAAAATCGAACTTTAGTGTATAAATTTGTCTGAAAAATTAGTTGCGAAGATGCATTAGCATTGGGAAAACCATGGCGGTGAATTTATGAAGTCCGAAATATTCAACAAGTTTTAAATTTCGGAGTCCGAAAAATTCATTGGTGACCGTGGTAAAATTTAGGTTCGAAGTTAATTCGAAGTTAATAGTGATTTGTTTCAAATTGCCTCGAATCAAATTTGAAATATATGAATTACATAATATAAAGAAAAATTACCATATTTCTCATGACCCAACTGACCGGCACTATATATATATATATATATATATATATATAAGGGAAAGAAGTGTATACTTAAGCACTCGTGTTTCCGTGTTTTGACACAATATTAATGAGATCTAACAGGCAAAGATGCCAAGGAAAGTATAGGGGAAATTATCAAACCGAATTGCAATGTAAATATGAAGAAAGAAAAGTTGGTGAAAAGATAACGTGCCGGGGGCAGGAATTGAACCTGCGACTTTCGAATAACACGTTTGATGCTCTAGCACTGAGCTACCACGGCTGCTATCATCCCAGCCACTTTATTTGGTATATATGTGAATTTAAACGTGGAAGTGACAGTCAGCGCCACCAGTAGCCATGGTGGCGAGTGTGGCTCACACTTTATGGGCCTGTGTGGCGTCACGTAGCATGTGAACTTATTACCAGTTGGCAGCTGACCAATAGTCCTTCGTATACAACATAAGGCACCAAGTCTGCCAGTATGAGACCCTCTTAATGAATGACCGTGGGCAAGAACGCAGCCTGCGACCTTCGATTAACGCAGGTATTCGAAGGTCGCAGGTTCTGTTCCTGCCCACGGCAAGTTATCTTTTCACCAACTTTTCTTTCTTCACATTTACATTAGAATTCGGTCTAATAACTTCCCCTATACTTTCCTTGGCATTATTCTTTGTTAGATCTCATTAATGTTGTTTCAAAACACGAAAAGTGAGCCCTTAAGTATACACTTCTTTCTCTTATACGTATATGTATATATTTATATAAACAAGGCATGTGCAAATGTCATTCTTGTCAGTTTTAAAGAAGTAGAAGAACCTTTGAATAGTAGCAGGATTTGACTTTCGTAAGAACGTTAATGATAACCTGCAAAGTGCCCTGCCGCGGTGGTCTAATGGCTAAGGTACTCGGCTGCTGACCCGCAGGTTGCAAGATTGAATCCTGGCTGCGGCGGCTGCATTTCTGATGGAGGCGGAAATGTTGTAGGCCCGTGTGCTCAGATTTGGGGGCACATTAAAGAACCCCAGGTGGTCGAAATTTCCAGAGCCCTCCACTACGGCGTCTCTCATAATCATATTGTGGTTTTGGGATGTTAAACAACATATATCAATCAATTGATAACCTGTAAAATATGTTGCCTTTTAAAGTTTACTTAGGATGAATAAGCCAGTATACCAAGCTTTACCCCTGAGAAATGATTGATGTGAGAAAAATATTTTCACTGAACCTTAAAGTGGGGCTTTATGGCAGTGCAGATTTCCCCTGGATCGGTGTACTCATGGTGCAGTATTCCACCACTGCAGTTAAAAGACCTTTGCAAGGAGGTTACATGTAGACGAATATACACCTCTTCGTTCTTTTCAAACGCTTTGAAATTTTCAATGATTTCAATTTGCTTTGAAACGATGTTGAATACTATAATGTTAGCTTGAATATTTGTTCAAGCCTGCTTATTACTTTCGATCAATTTAAAGAGTTTCGATCAATTGAAGAGTGAACTTACTACATTCAGTATACATAATGGATATACAATGTGACATGGTGTTTCAAAATATCCCTTGGAGCTCTCTTCTCAGTTGCAGAGACTTTTGAAAACTGGTTCGCACAAAACAAAGTTTTTTCTTGCGTGCGAAACCAACGAAACGCAAGAATGTTTTCTCTTTCAAGTGATATCTATTTACAGCAATTGTACCATAATTGATTCCACGTCGTTTCATGTTCACTAGTGACAAAAGCAAAGTGTGTTTGCTCAACACGAGTTGAGTGGGAAAGTCGAGGATAGATAGCAAACTTGTAGACACAAATAAAAACATTGCCTTTCAACATCTAGCCAGTCTTTTTTGCATCGTAAATGTACCAACTGGTAATAACAACCCACTTGCAAAGCGATAGCTTGTCTAAACTACTCTTTGGTTTTGCTACGAGGTTATATGAACTCTCAACTTTGGCACAGTAGGGTTTAGAGAAGGTTGTTCATCATCATTAGTCCTCATCCTCGGAGAAAAAAGCGAGAATGGAAGATTCCTGCGCTGATTTTTGACGCTCATGCCATTTGCATCGTTTTTTTGACAGAGATCCCGAAGTGGCTCTACATCTACTCAAGGGCACCTCAGGAGTCTGACCACAAGCTGAAGGTGCGAACACACTACATGCTTGTTTGTGTATACTTGTCTTTAATGTGAGTGGCTTTTTACGGCCAATTTTCACGTTCGATTGCTGGACTGAAACTGTTGGTACGAAACAAGAAGTTGTTGTCTGTTGTGCGCCTAAGTTGCAAACCAGTGTTGTTGAGCACGGTCGTCAGTGGAAAAAGTCGACAGTACAGTTCTCGCCGATTCGAAATGCTAGTTGCAATTTCTAGTATGATACTCGATACACAACATCGCCTGAGACAATCATGTCATGAATAATCTGGCCTCTGAAGATAATGTTGGCTCTGATCTACGTGTTTAAATCAAAGTTTTGTTGATATGATCTGAACTAAAGGTGGTGGAAATTGAAATGCTGTATGCTTTACATGGCTGTGAATTAAGGGGTTTCAATCCGTGAGTACTGTACACGCAACATTGCACATTCTACAGTAGCGAGGTAGAAGATTGGGCTAGTTGATAAAGTTCCACAATGGGGTATGAAGGTAGCGCAAAGCAACAGGCAAGATGAGAGAGACAAGGCGCTGCAAGTGTTTCCATGGTAGTTTCTGGTTACTGTGTGCATTGGAGAGTCTGCAACACAGTTCACTTCACAGGCACAGTGTGATTATTCTGACATCGCTCTTGCAGTAAAGAAAACTGTCATTTAAAAAATTTCTAATGAAGCAGGCGGGTCTCATGTCAGCCCTGAAGTAGACAGCAGTGACAATGCAATGAAAAACGATCACCCTTAGGTAGCAGAATGGTGTATGCATTAAAGTGGTCACTATGTTGGCAACGAGAATAAACCTATGATGTGAAGACAGCTGTAGAGGTTTTGTTCAATATAGTAGATAAAGGAGATAGCACCATGCAATTCACCTCAAACACTTTTTATAGTAAGTGTCACCATTTGCAGTGTCTTCTTTTCATGCTATGATAATTGTCGTCTGATTTGCTTTCTCTTCATTTCTTGAAAAACTGTGCAGTTACTAACTTTACTATGAAGGGCATTTTGTCACTCTGGCAGTACTCATGAAGAGGCGAAAAAAAGTTCTTGAACAGGGGTTGTCTCAAGCCTCTATCCTTTTGTGAACTTTTTTCTTCTTTTGATAGCGCGCATGCAATTCATGACTGGGCAGTTAGCATTAAAGGAGTCCTGTAACACTTTTCCAAGTAGCCATTGAATAGCGTTGTTAAAAAGGATATAGCCTCACAACTCGACAGCTGCAAATTTTTTTCTTTTTTCTCTTCGGATGCGCATCTTATTGTTAGTGTGATCCCGAGCACGCGCATGAGTGCATGACGCCCTCTTGTGGCGACCACAGTAACTGTGCAGCTCATGATGCTCAGTCGGCTAATGGCTCTGAATTTGGGCATATGACAATTAAGTATACGGCATCATTTGTAGGAAGAAAAGGGGACGATTCCTGGCTGTCTTTGAGAATTAATTGTAAATTTTAGGGCACATTTCGCACTCTGTTGTTTGACTCAGGTGTTCTCAGGAGCCTTGACTACCGATCGACAGCATTTTCTGACCATGCTGAAAAAGTGTTGCTGGGAAATTGTATAAACCATATAAATCAAGGACAAGCTTGCAGGATAGATGATGATCATTGTTACTTTTGCAATAGTATACTTTAGAGTGCGTAACTTGCTTTACAGTGTAGGGATTTCACACCTTATATTAAAGGCCTCGCGGCACTTCTTTGTTGTTTTGCAGTGAAAGCTGTTAAAAGATCAGAACAAGGGCAGTTTTCCGCATTGTAGTTGTTCGCTGCTGGTGTCTATTACCGCTACTTCTCAAAATAATGGGGGGGTGGGGAGGAAGAAAAAATTCTGAATAACAAAATAGTCTGGACAGGCAATGGAGTTTCACGCAGTAACCAGGCGTCGCACAGTACAAATTGTGTGGCAAATGTTCCAGAATCATTATAAAGGGCTCAGCCAAAATTCTTCGTCATCAGCCACCAAATCAACAAAGTGCCTATATTGTCTTGCGAATGCATAGCGGGTACACCACTGCTCTGCAGAATCATTAATAATGGCATAGTGGGTGCGTCCCAAATTGACAAACATTGTGTTCTACAGCATAGTGGGCGTCTTGCAAGCGTACTTGCATTAGTAGCCCCAAGACTGCTTACAACGGTTGCTGGAAATGCCGCTTTTTCAGCTTTCGCTGCGACTGTGTTGCGTTTCCCGCACGGGCCTGGCACTTTTTTTCTTTGCCTCCGCTGTACCTCAAGCATCGTCCTTTACAAAATGATAGGTCAAGAAAAAGAAGCTCTTTTACATTTCATGTCCGCAGTGGAGCCTCTTCAGGCTGCCGGAGCTGGAGTGCTTCCAGGCCATCCTGAATCGGCTGCACCGGCAGGAGCTGGAGGAGGTCGTCATGAGCTATGAGGTGGAGCGCCTGGCCATAGCCAAGGAGATGGAGCGGCGCCATGCACTCGAGCTGGCCAAGGGTCGCAAGGCCTCCACCAAGGTGCACCTTTTGTTGACCGATCAAATAACTTGAATTTCGCATGCTTTATTGTTAACAAGCACAAAGACGCAAAAGAAGACACAAGGACACAGCATTATATTAGTAGCACTACAGCAAATGCTTGTTAATTTGAACGCTGTTGCTTAAAGTTATTGTAAATTCAAGCTAATTCCCTGGCTTTGCATATTTATATGGGAGAAAACTCCTGATAATTTGAATGTGTCTGTATCCACTATGGTTAATTCCAACTGGGAGCCTCCTGCCATTCATCGATTTTCGCAGAAGTCTGCCCTAAGGGATCACAATGTGTTGGAAAACCAAAGCAAACCAAACTTACAACCCTGCTGCAGTGGTCTAGTGGCTAAGGTACTCACTCGGCTGCTGACCCGCAGGTTGCGGGATCGAATTCTGGCTGCGGCGGCTGCATTTTCGATGGATGCGAAAATGCTGTAGGCCTGTGTACTCACATTTGGGTGCATGTTAAAGAACCCAAGGTGGTCGAAATTTCCGGAGCCCTCCACTACGGCGTCTCTCATAATCATATGGTGGTTTCGGGACGTTTAATCCTACATATCAATCAAACCAAACATACCAGAAATGCAAAGAAAAGGAACAGCACCATATCTGAGTAGATGAGAATTCGGGCACTGCGCTGATGTCTTGGGCAAGCTGCAAGCAATGCTCATGGAGTTGTGACAAAATTAAATGCAAGTAAATGCTAATTACTGATTACTTATAATTTTGATTGCATTAGCTATGCTATGAAAATGAACGCGTTTTAGAGCATAAATAGCATCGTATATTTTGGCAACGAGGCTTACCGCTCTCATGAATGCATATTTCAGTGTTTGTATTTGGCGCATCACTGACTGATAAATTAATTATGTTCACAGATAAATTAATTATGTTCACAGTTAGGTCTCTATGAATTTAATCCACAAAATGGCTTGTCACAAGCATGCAACAGTCCATTCGCAATAACGAGCGCAGACGCGGCTTCTTTAGGCGTGCCCGCTCGGTGATTGATTGATTTGTGGGGTTTAACGTCCCAAAAACCACTCTCTGATTATGAGAGACGCCGTAGTGGAGGGCTCCGGAAATTTCGACCACCTGGGGTTCTTTAACGTGCACCGAAATCTGAGTACACGGTCCTACAACATTTCCACCTCCATGGGAAATGCAGCCGCCACAGCCGGGATTTGCCTGCTCGGTGTCACGTGATGTCTGTTCATTGTAGTGGCCACCTGCCGATTCAAACTCCGCATAATTCGACCAATTTTACGCTCCCCGTTCGAGTTCAAATGAATAAGCTTTTGCTGTACTAGTAGCAGTGTGTCCTCTTGTCGTCGCTCGTCTGCCACGGTGCCTTAGTGGCTCCGGTGCACAACGGATGACTGGAAGATCGCGGGATCGTATATTGGCTACGGCTACACCATTTTCCATCGAGGCGAAACACCAGAGGCCCGTGTGCCCCCATGTAGGTGCCCATTAAAGAGCACCAGGTGGTTGAAATTTCTGGAGCTCTGTACTGCGATATCCTTCATAGCCATGTCGTTTGTTGGGACGTGAACCCCAACAGTTATCATTGGTATTGCTTCTTTTTAATCCCAGCATTTATTTACATTCAAACATAAGATATGTAACTTAGAAGTGTGGCAGCATGGGCTGGTTGGTATGACACGACGATAGTTAAAGCGCAAGAACAGAACGACGACGTAGAGACAAGAAGTGTCCTTCGTGTCCTTCTTGTCTCTGCGTCGTCGTTCTCTTCTCGCACTATAACTATCATCATGAGATATGTAGTATGAACTATCCCACCACACGTTTTTAAATTTCACGTTTATCACACTGTCAACATTTTCTGGTTGATTTATTCAGTCTTTGTTAAGAACTTGAACATTGTTGCCGGACAGATTTTTCGTTCTATTAAACGGGGAGAAAGTTCATGTTTTTTTCGTAGATTTACGATGACAGAAAGCTACAAAAACAGTCGGTAAAAGGGACGTATCGCTGGTTGCTTGGACTTGAGATCGCTATTGTTTACTCTTTTTTTGATAAAAATTACACAGCATCAAGTGTAACAAAGGAAACATGTGGGAACCAATCTACTTTACCTATATATATAAAACGACAAAAATTATTTTTTTTGTTTTAGATTTCTGCTTATTCTACTTGCACAAACACACACATGCATGTTCACTTACTTCCTCTCCTTTATGTCAACTTGATTTCCTGGGCTCTTTTAATATGACATTCTGTTTTGTGTGTCTCTTGCTTCTCTTCATATCTCTCTCACTCTAGTTATGACTTCTCCGCGGAGAGATGAAAGAATGATAAACCTCGGGTGCGGCAACACCACCTCCTAGTCACAAGAACGTCTGCGTGCCGCAAATGTCATTGTGCCCCGCCTGCTTCTTAGCATCGTCGATCCCTGCCATGCGGCTTCGGGGGCCGCGCTGGTCGTGCGTCCTCGACGCCTGCCGTTGCTTCGTCGGTGGCTGTGCGGTGAAAGAGTGTTGTTGTTTTTGTTTTCTCTTGGAATGCAGAGCGTGTGTGTGCGTGCTGGTTTCCGTTGTTACCGTCGTTCCTTGCTCACAGAGCTCGGTCTATCTTACGAAGTTTCTTGTCTGTCTGTTTACTTATTACCATTTAAGGAATATTGGGTGTCACAGAGATGCAGCTTTTATGTGTATTAGCACTTACGAAATAGTGGTTGTAAAAATGGGCTGTAGTTTGTACATGTGTTACTGCTATAATGGAACACAGGGTTTTGAAGGCTTGCCGTCTGTATACACGTTACCTTTACGGAACACTAGCTTTTATGATTGGAAAAATTGACAACCACCCTGTTAGTTTGATTGTCACTTTTTCTTGTAGCACAGAGCTGTGAAGATATATCTACGGATTTTTTGGAGAGAAAAGATTTTAGTCAAAGAAAAATTTGTCTTGTCCCAGGGATCGAACTCGAAACCAGTGCCTATTTGGGGCCTCCTTGCGGGGTTCCACATTTGCAGTACCAGTTTTTATGTAGTGTAGATGCCGGTGGCTGCAGTGCATCTTATTTCGGAGCAAACCCTTTTTGTGGCTCTTTCATCCGTTTTTCTGGTGGTCGGACTACCACTATCGATAGAAAAATTACTATGAAAAGAGACTGAGCATTCGCGCATCTAAGGTACGGGACAAGCTTATCACTGAACACCGAGTAATACGACTTGTAACTATCAGGCGCATGTGCTGCCAACCTGTACTGCTACAGGTATCCTTAATAATGACTCTTATTTTTTATTTGTGGAGTTATACTATGAGAAAGCTACCTCTGTCTAAAGCATCCACACTGCATCAAACATACGTTTTTTCAGGCACGTCATTACTTCTAGAAAGCAAATCGATTTCTTGAAGCATGTGGCCACTCAGTGGCATTGGTGATCATTGAGTTCGTACTGGACGAGGTGTCGTATGATGTGACAGCAGGTGTTGTTACTGCTGTGCACATCTAGTAACTCGGTATTCTGTGCATTCTAATGCGTATACAGACCTCAGGTGCTCCAATACATGTGCCACACGGACAAGGCGAAATGACTTTAGTCACATTTATGTGAATACTTCAGTGTCACACGGCAGCGCATTTCCAGTGCGTCGCACCCACGTAGAAGCTGCAGTGCACTACAGTCAGTCACATCCTTAGAATAAATTGCTTAGAACAAATACAAGCTCTTCGGCCCCAGAACTGCAACTTGCCTGCTAATCATCTGGACATAAGAGTCGTACTACCATTTTGCTTCTAGTTTAAGCACCATGCATGTATAATTCGTCATGTTTACTTAAAGTATTGCATTCCGAGAGTAGTGCCATTGGAATCTGCTGATATTTGCCTGGAAGTTTGTTTTCAGCTGAACACCACGGAACTAAACACGTATATGTATAAGAAAATCACCTGCCTGAAATATCACGAAAAGTACATGACGTCATGGAGCACTCGTGGAAATTTTGTCCGGGCTGGACAGGGACGGCTGTGGGCGGAGCTTACTGTTATTTTTGGGTTGCAACTGACCGTAGAAGGCACATTGAATTCACGAGCCGGGGTAGGGTAGACTTATGACCCCGAGCAAACTCGCACAGAAATGCAAGTGTGTTGCATCAGGGATCGTGGGAAGGGATCAGCTGCTGACTGTCACGCCGGTCAAGCTGCAGGACGGCAGTGCCCTGCGACAGTCGGCACGGCAACCTTCTTACACATTCGATGCACTACCAGGAACCAGCTACAATGGAAGAGCGAGCCCGGGTGCGCTAACGCACTGCACATAAAATGCTTACATTGCCTTTTCCCTAAAAGGACTTGGAAATGCAGTGTGCTACTAGCGCGTTATGCTTGGCGACAATTTATCTTGGCAGTAGAACGATGGCTACGGAGGAGGGTAATCCAGACATTTGTGTTTCCATGCAAGTAGTCTGCAAGCTCGCAGCCGATTTCAGTTCCAGTTTTGGTTTCGCTCGTGTGCAGCCCTCGTCGACAGTTCAGGCCGACTCCACTTTACCCCAGCACGGACGTTGCAGATAATTTGCTTGGTCTGTTCTTGCAGCCACTTTCTGTCACACACTGGGTATATCTTTCTCGGGGAATGAAACAGCGAGTTAGTGGCCGCACATGGTCCAGCCGGCATCGGGGACGCCATGTTTACTGTAGGAACAGGCATGGGGAAAACGTGCCAAAAAATGGAGACAGAAAAAATTTTGAGGCGTACAAAAATTTTTCACCACCAGTGGCTTCCCATACTCGTTCTATTTTTATAATGAAAAGACTTTATTTTTCAGAGGTAGGCAACTCTGAAAATTAGAAAGTGAGAATATGTACTACTACTTGGCGCTCACGAAGGCAAGTGTTTTGTTCTGTATTTTCCGTAGTAACTACCTAGAAAAGTTGTCGCTGAGTATAGTGTAAGTGAGTTGTATATTTGTCAACTTCTGATTATTGAAATGAAACTCTGGAGTGCCCCCAAGCTTGACTTAACGAGAATCAGCCGTATAATAAAATATGCCAGTGATGTTTTTTAATAAATTTTTCCAGATACCCTATCTATTTAACGAACTCGTTCTCAATAGTGTGACAGTAACACAAACTTACTGCACTTGTTGTTACCATTGTGACAACCACTTTGAAAATTAGCTCCCTAGAGTGATTTTTTGTGTAACGGCACCAAGAATATTTGGTTTGAGACACTTAATGCCGTTAACCTTGTCCGTGTGGTTTGTGTATGTGAAGTCCCCGAATGCATGGCTTTTTCCACGTGACTACTACCACAACCACTTCCTGTTGACGAGGGAAAATAAGTTACGGAACACACGCTGTTTCATTGTTTGGTGAACTGCACTCTGCGTTGGTGATCATACTACAATGCGCAAAAAAAAATGTTTGCAGTGTTGACAGTATTATTGCATTCATGTGCTGCGAAAAATGAATGTCTGCGTTTTTCGTGGGAAATACTATGGGCAGTGTTGCTGCAGTTGATGTCGATGCTTTTTTTTTTGGTCTTACCAAATGTTGAGTTTCAGCGGCGAATTCAGAGTAGCCGGCTGGCTCTTCTAGTGAATGTTTGTCTCTGGAATAATAGTCCTCCAATTGGCAATTAAAATGCCATTTTCGCTGTCGAAACAAAGTGAATGTGAGAGTCCTAAACAGTGTATTGAGGCTGAACGTTCTGTCGAACACCCTTTTGGAAGCGGTGGTCTCTGCGTCACAGTTTGTGTCCCGACTCGTTGCACGTATCAGAACATCAGCTTTCCACCTCAGAGCTGTCCATGTCAAGTAGCCAAAGCAATGCTGTGCAAATTAGACAGAAAACTTATCTGTCAAAAGCAAAGAAAACCTGGTCCGGCAGTTGGAGCTTTTGACTACTGGGAAGCCTGCTTGGCGACTTGGGAATCCAGCCTTGCGAGCCTGCGCCAGCTAGTGCTTGCATACGAAGTTGTTCTTCAATGTACCCAAATACCCATAGACCCTTCCTGTATTTGCCCGATTGTTGTTATTTTGAAACGTTTGCGTCCTAAACCTACGCCTAGGAGAGATGCGATCAATTCCATCACCTTAGTCCCACTGTAAGATGTGGTGATGAAAGAGACATCGGGACATCTAGTACAACGTCTGGAATTGAGTACTTTTTTATCTTGCATTCATGTGCCTCTGACAGCTCCATGCACGTCCCGACAACTTGCACATCCAGGATTACACAGTGGCCATCTATTGCCAGATTGGAGATTCGTGTACCTTGGTAAATGGGGTTCCTCATGCACGGAGCACGCGGTGCCAGGTTGGCCAGGTTATCTGCCGTTACATCAAAAACTTGATACTAGCCGTGGGCCACTCAATAACTAAGCATGCATAATGACAGTTTAGAGAAATGAGTCATGCAAAATTTCAATTCACCCCGTCGATCTTCGCAGGGCAAGCTTTCCTGTTGCGCAGAATGACTGATGCTCCGACATCTGACGCATAACTTGCACCCTCAATCTGTCATTGGAACAAACTCCACTGCAGTGAGCTGTAAACTTGCTTCTGAATCTGCCATCAAAATTCAACATGACGCTAGGTGTCAGCTGCTAAATTGCTGGGAATGTTCGTTCACTTACGTTATAGGCCTGCATACAGGCTTGATGTAGGCAGTGAAATGATGCGAGAAATCACGAGAGGCATTTGCTGACTGGCATATCAGTGGCACCTGTTCATCTTTTCGGAGTTGTAAAAAACTTTGCCACAGGCTTTTCGTGGGAAAAAACGCAACAGTCATGAAGTCTGGAGATTGGGCGATGTTAGATTTTCAAGCTCATTGTGTTGGACTTGACATTGTACACATTTTTTTATGCCATGATAGGTAACAAAATTTGCCGATGTCATGTAGCAATTCGGGCTTTAGGCTAGATTCGAAGGCATGGCTAGTATAAACCAAAACAAAGGGGCATCTTCACGAAAAGGAAAAAGAATTGTCTTCAACCCAAGGATACCCATTCGGCTTCTTCACAAAAAGAGCGTCGCAGTTGACCGAAAAATTCATCCCGATCACGGCTTTCCGATTCATAACCGATGCTTGCGAGGCGTTTGTGCAACCATCTGAGCTATGCAGGAGATTAGCAGGTTGTAGCTTGAGGGCAAATGAATGCAGTGCTCGAAATGCACCAAGCCAGTTCCGTAGAATCTTGCGATGTAAACAAAAATTCCTGAATGGGGAAAGAAGTGTCATTTCTGACACATTTCTGACATTTGATTGTTTGTCGCATGCAGCAGTAGATGAAACTAGGATGGCTTTTCCAAAAGAATGTCTTGCAGTTGAAGAAAACTTGTCTTCTGCTGACCCGCAGTTTGCGGGATCGCATCCTGGCTGCGGTGGCTGCATTTTCGATGGAGGCGGAAATTTTGTAGGCCCGTGTGCTCAGATTTGCGTGCACGTTAAAGAACCCCAGGTGGTCGAAATTTCCGGAGTTCTCCACTGCGGCGGGGACGTTGAACCCCGCATATTAGTCAAATCAAGAAAACTTGCCTCGGTCTGGAATTTGATCCCGGGACCAATGTGTGGAATGGTCTGTAGGCAAGATCTTTGAATCAGGTATGCTTCCCATGTTAAGGTTTAAATGAGACTGCTTGCGTGCAAGATTGTTTATTATATTAGAGTGCATCCGAGAAATGTCTAGCATTTAAGTAGTTTTAACCATGGTAAAGTCACTGCGAGGTCGTCGTCATTAAGAGTGTTGTCAGCTGTCGCACATACATAATTCCTCTTTTTATTAATCACAACAACATTGTATCAATATCTTTATGCAGCAAAGAACTTCTAGAAACGGTGCTAACTTTTCTGAAAACAAGAATATGTGAAATCTTGTTGTGAACTAAGAAAAAAAAGTGTTAAAAAAGCTACAGTTACAAATGAAAGGTCAAACGTCGTATTAAAATAAATTTTTGTAAACAGCACATGCATGTATATATTATCGTATACTGCACGTGAGAACGTATGTCTACGATGACAGCATTGTCAAGAGTAAATTTGTGCTTCATAATTGTAGTTTATTTACCACAAATAATTGTTGCCCTTGCATATATATTGTGCCTAGTGTTTTTATGAATGTAAAAAAAAATCTCGCTATTATTTACTTTGAAAATAAGTTGTTTTATTTTTGAAAAGCAATTTTCTTTTATTAAGTACTCAAAATCTGCTACTTCTGACAGAAAACTCTACTGAAATGACATTCGTTGCTTTGGGAAGTTTTTTAGTGTTATGTAATTTTGTATGTAGGTATTCGCATTTCCAAGATTTCTGAAAATTAGTGCTTGTTTCAAAACATTTTTCAGCTACGAATTATGGCCAAGATTACTGTGCTTGGAGCATTACTAAATTCATTGGCGAGCCAGTGATTGCAATTGCAAAAAATGATCGATTGTGGAAATTCTCACAAACTGCTTGTTGGTACAGGGACATTTGCTACAAAACCGAAAAATTCGCTTCCAATATATGTGCCGTTCGATACCGAATTTCATGCCGTTTTACACAAGAAAGACCATTATTTAACGGCAGAGAAAAACAGGGTAACATGTAATTCATGTGAAGGCGAGTTGTACTGCTTTTTTAGAGCACCATTGTTTCGCATTACTCACATTTTGAAACTAGCTTATAACATCGTTCTTGTTACCAGAGAGTCACGTTTATATTCAGGGATATTTCTAGGCCTTTTTTCTTTTCTTGGCCTTATTAGCTTCTCATAATCATATTGTGGTTTCGGGACGTTAAACCCCACAAATCTATCAATCAGTCTTATTACCTTCACATTCAAGCAGTGGCATTGAATGCCATGGTTGGAAAGGCCATAGCCATGCGAGCCCCTCATTCAGGTCTCCTAAAAGAATCTGCCTTGAGGTGTTTTACAAATATTTGTTATCTTTAACATTGGGGAGTGTATTGTAGTTTGTTTTCAATGAAGAAGTGAGTGCCTTACCAATTGTCATGTACAGAACTGGTCTTGTTTGTACTTTATTGGTAATTGGGCAAATAATTTGTATTTAACAGGCAATAGGGTTAGTTTGTACGCATGAAAGTACTGAAGAACTTGCACTGCCTGCCATCACGGAGGCTTTTTGTATGCTCAGAGAAGCATGTGCCTTACCTGTCGTCATTCATGTGACATGTCTTGTTTTTCGCCGGTACATTTACGTTATCCAACTGGATAGGAATTGCCTAGTCGATGGTCTGATGGGCTTTTTCAGTTTGACGTACTAAGGGAGCAGCACACGAAACATGGAAGAATATGGTGCAAAGCTTTGCTTTCTTGCACGCTTTGTCCTCTGCATTGCCGAATAGGCAACCATTGTAAGTGCACACTCCATGTCGCTAAGAAAAGTTAGCAGTGTGCCATTTGAATATGGTCGAGCACGTTATATCCTTGCATCCTGACTTCAGTAGATAACAATACCTTTAACATCAGAGCCTCTGTAATGTACATCATCAACAGGTGTATTCAAAATGTACAAACCTTTTATGTAGAATTTTCACTGTCTCCTATTTCGAGTGCTTTAGCAATTTTAGAGGATTTTAGGCCCTGTTAGTGTTTACCAGGCGTTGAAATCTGTACCTTGAGGAGTTTGTGAAGATTCTAATGCGAACGAAATGTTCATGGTTATTGGACATACAACAGCTTGATGTTTCTCAACAATTTTATGTCCATAATTTTGCAGTATTTGTTTCGGACCACATATAAGGGTTAAAAATACTAACTAGGGTCTACAGTAACACCTGTTGATGTCTATTGTCAAGCCACTTCAGCCACTAATTTTTAGCAACTACATTCTAAAAAACTGCGCTAGGTTAATGAAGTTCTGCCAGTAACACGTGAATTTGAAAGTTCACTCTAATCTCTGCTCTATGGTATTTCAATTTAGAGTTCTTTTTCATTGTTTGTTAAAGAGTCCCCATAAAGCTTTTTTTTAAAGTTAAAGTAGTTAGCTTTAGCTAAGTAAGCTATAGCTAAAGTAATTAATTTGCACGTGTTGAGTGAAGCACTTAGTATCGAGGGAGTTACGGAGGATTAAAGATTACCCTCCTCCCAAGCCGAGCTTTTCCTCAACTTCGTTGCCAGTTGTTGGGACTGAAGTCCACTTTTCATAGTCTTCCACGTGTTGCTGAATATGTTTGTCTACTCAACTTCTGCGGCCCCAGTGCCACCACAAGCATGGCTGCTCACACTTACTCCTCCGGTATACATATGCCGAGAAGGCTACCATATTCATTGCATAATATGTGTATTTAAAGCTTACTATATTGTACACTATACAGAGATCACCTAAATCAATGTGTCATTGATTCAGAGGACTTTTGCTTTTAGCTCAGTGGGTCTGTGCACAAACACCAAACCTGCTTCAGGGTCCCTTTGTATAATTTCGCTTGAGGGGTCTCACTATATCAGCATTGATGAATTAAATAATATTTCTCCACTTATTTAAGCATGAGAAAAAAAATTTAATTCTATATCATATGCCAGTTTTGCTGTTCTATTCATGTTCGATTCGATTGGTAGATCCCGCTAATCAGGTGCCCCCAAGCTATCCTCCAACCTGGTTTAAATTCTGCGTTCATGACTAGGCCACGCATACCTAGGCTGCTGAAACATGTTTACGATGCACTTTGCACACTTTACCTCGTGGTCGGCACTTCCAAACGCATTTTTGTAATGTTTTAAAGTTTTATATGCATTATGTGGCACTTGGCCAAGGAACTTGTTGCTGCGGTCAAAGAACTGCCACTTTTTCAAATGAATGTGCCAAATAACGAAAGAGGTCAGTTGTCTTGTAGTACAGCCAAACTGCGATATATATCAAAATATCAGATGGAATGATTCAATAACTCTCGCAGTAATGACAGTACAACAGATGTGTTTATAATAGAAATGAATGTAATAAAGCGAATTGAAAAATTCGTATTGCTGTTACACAGTAACAGACATGCATTTATGACAAGAACCGGTGTAACAAGTTGCTGTATAAATGGAAAAACACTTCATCTTCATTACAATGTTACAGATATATGTTTATAACGAACATTAGATGTAACAAAGCTGTTTTTACACCCAGTGTGACTGTTTTACGATATATGACTGCATGTGCTAGTGGGCTGTCTGTAAACGGTTTTGCTAAGAGAAATGGAGAGGTGTTGAACTTCATGTGTAAAACGTGCATTTGACCTGGCTTGAATGTAGTACACTACAACCTTGATATAACGAACCGAGATGTAATGAAATATTGGTTATAACAAAGTAAATGAAGACCAGTATTCAAACAGATACAATGCTAAGAATATACTTTTATGCATAACAAATTTTTGGATGAAACAAACTTATTCTTCTGTAAGATAAAACTGTTATAACGAGGTTTGAGTGTAATACAAAATTTGTTATATTGATCTAATTTATTGAAATTTTAGCCGTTCATGCAGATATATTCATGGCCACGCCAATGTTCACGCTCCCGTCGATGCTTATGCTAGGGCCATCTCTCCTCCCTGATTAGTCTAAGAGTCCCATGACTCTTTTTTTCCTTTGATTGGTTTGTAAATATTTAGATGGGCCATCTCTCCTCTCTTCATTGGTTTGCAAACGCCATGACTGGCAGTTTCTCCTCCCATTATTGGTTTGTATAATTGAGAGCCCAAGGAATGTTGTTTGTGCATCAGCTTTATCTCTTTTTTTTTTTTTTTTGCCCTGTGAAACTTGTACCCATCGGTGCAAGGGCCATGAAACAGCAGTCGAATCAGTTTCGTGCTTAGCGAATTTTTTCACGTGTGTTATGCACTGCCATACAAAAGCAGTGCAGCATTTCCGTGTCAAAGTGATGTATGTTGTAATGCGACTATGTGTACCTTCTCATTCCGAAGCTTATACCTGCGTTAAATGGGCGCTTTTGAAAGGCCATACCCAGTCGATGGCCATTGAAACGATGCAACTCTATCATCTCGATGCAGCTGTCTCACTGCTACATGGCAGCTTTAAACATCTGTCGAGCGGTTCAGGCAAAAATTGTGTGGCACTGCAGACATACTGCTTTTTAAGCGTACCAATTAAATTTTTCTTTTTTTTTATTTGTGAGTACGAGTACATTGTGAATGAGAAAGCATGTTTTCGCTGTTTTCTATTCTCTCATTCAATGGTCATTCAAGTTACGATAGAGTTGTGGGGTGCTCCTTTGGCTCGATAGACTTGGCAGACTCTGGAACTTGCTGTGTAACAGGTCGCGTTCGATCACTGAGTCAATAGACTATTGGTTTGGAGGCCTTCCATGTGCCCGTGTGACATGGGCACTAGTCTTCCTATGAACAATGCAAAAAAACTTTAACAGAATTCGAACTGGTGAGGCCTTTTACACTGGAGTTACTCAAAAAAGACATGCATGACTGTTGCAAGTGACCACTTCTACACTTGAGACATGGCACGCACGTTTTCACTGAAGGAATCTTCAGCTATAGCTGTGGCAGCTTGCTTATATAGCGATTGCTTAAGAACTACAGCGATTAGTGCACTGTGGTGTGATAATTTAAGGACAGCTGCAGCCATTGTATTTGAGAGGCGATACATTAGGCTAAGAGCAGTGGTTGCTAATGGTATGGAATAGCAACAGTTATCGTTATTTAGGCTAATCTGCTTTCACATTCATGAAACACATCCCCCCCTTTTTATTTGCAAAGCTGTGGCAAGAGTGAGGGGCTTACCAGCTCGAATGCTGGTACACTGGTCACAATTTCGAGTGCTGCACCGATGATTAGGGCGATTTGTACATTTGCGGAAGGTACGACACGACTGCGTACAGCTTTGCCCGTATGTGTGCCTATGTTCATTGCTGTTGCGCTACAAGAGGTGTCTCTCCCCGCTTTGGTTAAGAATGCAGCTTTATTCAGTGTTTGATGCAGCAGGGTTCACCTGAACCTGCACTTGTTGGCTTGTGTCAATAAATGTTGTACAGGAAACGTTTCGACTTCATTCGTGACACCGTGATGAAACATGTATTCACAGTCTATCATATGTCCTTCTTATGTTGTAACTCTTTGCATTTGTCACCACTGGTGCTTCATTCCTTCGAAGTTTCTTCTGATGTTTCTCGAATCTTGGCGAGGTCTTCTTTACTAAGTTGCTGCCTGGCAACGTTGCCTCGGTTGAGAGTAAAGACCGTGCCGCCGTCAGCCTCTTTCTCTGCATTCGCTATGAGCCTCACTGCAAAGAGCCAGGAGGCGAAAGGATAGAGGGAAATAAGCATGAAACACGGTCGGCACAACTCGAGAACCATGACAAGGCGCGGGACGTCTCTGTCTGAAAGTGTCACTGCAGCAAAATTTTAAGACTGCATAAAATTTAGCGCTGTGTCAAACATGAAAGAGACTCTGCAGAGAATTTTACGTTTAAAATACAAATGAAAACGTGGCAAAAGATGGGCAAAATACAGTTTTTTTTAATGTCAAAACAAATAACGTCGCCAGAAGTGATGCATGACTGAGGTCATGCAGAGAAGTCTTTTGCATGACCAATGTTTGAGTGTGCTCATTAGCGCAATATTGATTTATGCAATGGATAAATAAATGTAACCTATGAAACATTATTTAAAAAATATTTACAGCAATTTAATTGCAAGGCATAGGAGACAATGTAAAGAAAAATTATGGTGAGGGTTCAGCTTTGCAGCACGCACAAATAAATCTAGAACAAGCACAGAGTTGTAGGCATGCTGTAAATACGAATAAAAACATTGATTAATGTAATCATTCGTTGCATTGACTCTTACTTTAGCCTATGGCAATGTCGAAGATATGTACGATATTTTTATACCTGCTTCACTCGAACTCTGTGTGATGCTATATGTTGAACCAGTCCTTCAGTAGCTGATCATTTATGTGGTGCAAGACTAGCTTAAAGCTACAGCGACAAGAGAGCAGCTAAGCGACAGGTGAACAACTATTCTAGCAGGTACTCGGCTGTTGCTGTGGTTGAACTATCGCAGTTGCACTCTGCACAGTGCTAGCTGTTCTCTCGCTGCTGCTTCTGCTGCAGTTGTTAAGTCGTCTCTATTCTAAAGTACCGCAACAGTCAAACCAAAACTGCAGCTATTGCTCAGAACAGCAAAAGCCAAGTAGTCGCTATCGAGCTATTGTAAAATACATTAGCAACAACTAATCTACAAAAGTTATCGCTATACTTTCGCCACTAAAGCTATGTCGGTGTTTCAACATCGAATAAAGAGACACTAATGTAAAACAATCAATGTAGGCTCACAATATTGTAGTTTATTTAATGAATAGAGAGAAACGAAGGTCTAAGTTGCCTTTGATATTTATGCTCAAAATACCCCTTCCCTAATCCCCCAGTGTAGGGTAGCCAACCGGATGTCTTTCTGGTGAACCTCCCCGTCTTCTCCCTTCCTTCTGTTTGCTTCCTTCCTATGCTGAAAATATAGCGCACTAATGTCGATGTGACGTCATAGAACTTCAGTCTTTGTACACATTTCGGCAGTATTAAGCGATGATAGAACTTCCTGAAACTTTCCCGAAATTTGTTATGTGGCGCCCTTACAGTTCCTTACTTCACTAAGCACTAGGGTTCCAAGAAAGACAGATAGTGAACACTAATAAAAAGTGCAGTAGAATGTAGCATACAGCATTAAAATCTGTGAAAGTTTGTGTAGGAACTTCGCACGGCATCGATTCCACCCGTGCCTCTTTCTCTTGTGCTGCCTTGACTACCTGCTTTCATTAAATTGATTTCGATGTCGGGGAAAAAAAATCACAGGGCAACTCTGCCTCTTTTGGCAGAATGACTTCCTTTTCCCAATTATGGCTATTTTTGTCATTTCGCTGTACATCACCACCTATCCCCCCCCCAATAGGTATATTATCTCTAACACAGATATGTTTACCTTTCCATTGTTGTCCCTAAAAGCAAAGGCTTCATGTAAACTAGTGCCCAAGGATATGTCCAAGTAGACATCTTCGCATTCAATTGAAGTATGCTCCGTCATTACCTTAGCTTCCCCACAGCATGAATTTTTTTCTTTATTACTGAAAATCTCTTCAGAGCTACACATTTTAGGGCAATCGAACCTCCCTTCAAACAACGAAGTACTGCCCCTAGTGCTGCTATCCAATAAATCTACTTTGCTGAACACTCTTCTTTGCCATATCAGTTACACTGACAGCCGTATACTTGCTGGCAAGTCTTTTTTTTTTTTCAAGGTGAGGTGACGCTCTTTCTATACAAATTTCGTAACTCTTCCTACTGTCCTTCACATTCATTAGTCTCTCTTCAAGCCTCACTTGACTCCACGCTTCTCTCACTGCAAAGCTTCTCCATCCCATATCGACCTTTACTGCTTCACTTGCTGTGCTTTCTGCCGTACCAAGCACCCTCTAGTGGCGACAGTGGTGCCTTAGGCATTGTGAAAGCAAGATTTAATGGTGCAAGAGTGACCAATTTTCTCCCCAGCGTCCCTCTACATGAGCAACCATCGTGACCAGAGAGGTCTTCAAGCACTGTTATGTTAGGAGTTCAGCTTACCGTAGTCAACTCCCTGCTCATTTTTCGGTGCCCTGTATTGGTAGATCATATACAGGGTCAAACCAAAGCCCTGCCAGGCGACGATAGCGTAAACAATGCTGAGCCGCCTTCTGACTGCCTCATGATCAGCGTACTCCAATGAAGGAAAGGTACGCCGCATCAGACGGAACAATCGTTTTCGCAAAAGCAGCATGTTTCTCTTTTCCTCACTTCAGCGAGCCAATCATTTCCTGCAACACAAAAAATTTGCGCTAGAGTGTTATACATTCCACTCAAGGAAGTTTAGAATGCCACTGTGCGATGACTCGCATTAAGTATTACGTAGTCAAACAGTAAAAGAAAAACAGTACATATAAACTGTTTTCACAAAGGCAGCGCGCCTGTCCCCTTTGATTCTCACATCAGCAGACTGTTCATGCACTTCAAAACAAAAATTTCATACTGGAGTATTACACGTTCTTCCCATGGAAGTTCTGGCACACCACAATGCAATGACCAACAATGAAGCACTGTGAAGCCAGTGAGCCACAAGCAGTTGAAACCAGTGAAGCCCTTTTCAGAAACGTGGCATGCCTACCATGCCCCTTTCCGATTCCTCATTTCAGTGGGTTGTTCATCCACTGCGACATACTAGTGACATTATGTGTTTGATAAATTTTTCATTGCTAGTGATGACCCCATTTGCACTTTGCTTTTTGTCACCTGCGATGACACAGTGGCCTGCGTTGAAATTGGGGTGAAGGTTTCTCTAAATAAACTAGCGGAGCGAATACAGCCAGTTTGCTTACACAGCCATCTTGCCTTTGATATCAAAATTTCGTGTCACGAATAACCATACGGAAGTTTTGCATTGACAAACAGATCATGATAACAGAGACCTCAAGCTGCATATATGACAAAAAGAAATGAGAAGGAAATGGTCGTTTTTATTTAAAACAAAAAAAAGTGCACATTTGTATATATCACATGACATACTCTGCATTAACTTCAACAAAGCAACCTGCTCTTCAAGCTTGACGGTATGGTAGAGTAAACGGATAGTTATGCTGGTTTCAGCTTTATGTCTACAGAACTGCTACCATGTTTTGTCGTGAAATTTTGTGTATTTAAAAAGAGAGCTAGCGGTATTCACTTTGCTAAACTTTGATCCTATAGCTTTTCCTGCTTGCTTCCGGTGGAGTACCAAATCTCAGACTAGTGCACGTAATTTAATGTACCTTTTCACAAAAAAACCACAAACAGTTATGACTCTGATATTCGACACAGTTATTCAACATATTTGTATTAATCCAAACCTATAAAAACTGACTTATATTAATCTTGCAAGATAAAAATATTGTCCTCACTTGTCACAAGCTGCGAGGGAAACTCCTTTTTTTTTGCTTATTTAAAATGAACAGTATTCTTGATTTTTAGAAATCAGACTATTTGGAAGGGATTTAGATATAACCTGAGAAAATTTGAGCGCAATTGGTCAGATAGTTATGCAGGAAAGGTACATCAAGTTTAGAAAATTATCAAGAAACTGATTGCGAGAAAAACGCACCTCATGCGCAGAACATGCTCACAACATATGGCGATAATTCCACTAAAGATGCGTTTTGGTGGGAAAATTTGCGATAATAAAGTATGAACATAGTAGGAAGTGAATATATTCAAATGATGTAGCCATACTTATTTAAAAAATGCCTAAGCGAAGAAAATAAATTATGAAAAAGTGCCCACGTATCCTTTAGGTTCAATGGTATCTGGTGTCATTTTTTAAAGGGCTGTATTTTTTTAAACATGTCAAACGCGCTCGCCAATGCATGGTTTTGCTCCTCCGTGTGTCGATTCTTTTTTAGTAGTGAAATTAAAACAATTGCTTTCTTGGTCTATCTACCCTACCTTACCACTTTAACTGCTTTGTTAACACAATCTGTTCCTTTAAATGCATATTTATTTAGACCCCCTACTAGCCAGTGGCTATGGGTCTAACCAGTGTTGTGTAGTTTCATGTAATAAGAGAACTTGAAATAAAATAAAATGAAAAAAAAAATGAAAAAACTGTTCGTAAAGAAGGAGTGCTGATTCAGTTTTTCCCTGGCTATACTTTTTCAATTAATTTTATTTACTGAATAGAACAAACAGGTATAAATTTATAACAGATGTAATAATATTAGACACCACTAGACAAACTCAGCTGAGGTCAAGGAAAAGAACAATTAATCGAGAGACACCAACAGACCTGCGAGGCATTGTGGCTTTGAAGGATTTTAAAATACTCCCCGAGTGATTGACAGCAAAACACAATGTGGCTCCGTAAATGAGCTATCACAAGCAAGCGAAGGTAAATGCATCTTGAACACTCTCTTTTCTGTAACTTCCACAATATAGATTGAGGCGACTAGAGAACAGAAATTTTTGGTTTTGGGCTACATCAGCGCAATGGTGGAAATGCAGTGTGGTTCCATGCTACGCACTATCGTAGAAAGCAACCCAAGCAACACTTGAATATGAAATGACCATTGTTCCCTGAATGTTCCGACCGTGGAACTAGTGGTCGTTCAATCTCTCGATGAGAGAGACTGCACTTTGCCAAAAGTTTAGCACATGGCAAGTTTTCTGGTTTTAATGTCCACACAGGGCTTGACTGAAAGCATGAGAGTCCTTGAAGTTGGCCCGCGTAAACATAGGAAATGCCATCAATGCCAAGGTTCACTGCAGCTGAAATTCTTGAGGGCACTTCCGAGAAGGACTATGCCAATGAAGCAAAAAGTGTTGCCACATTTGGCGTGGACTTTGTCAGAAGTCTATATTGTATCAGTCAAGTTTTGTCATGACACTTGAACGGTCATGAGAACAATGGTAAAGCTGGAAGGCAATCACGAAAATTCCATTGGTGTTGAGCTTTTGTTGCAGTAAACGTTCTTGATACATTGTAACCTGTTCCAGTGGAAACAATGTCACACTTCGGGACCATTAGATTCACCCTTGGGGCCAGCGAATGCCTTCATCAGCACCTTGTCTAGCTTCCGCACAAACACGTCTACCTCTTCCTTCTCTAGGCCCAGGGCGGACGCGGCTGTCAGGTAGGACGACGGATAGTTGTTGGAGTGGGAACCCCAATTCCGGAAGGTCCAGTCGCCCACTTTCTTTGGTTCAGTTCGGTCCGTGGGCACGGCCCTCGCCCCAGAGACGAGACGGGTGAAAAGCATCGCCCCGACGCCTGTCACAGCGTCTGCATCAGCAGCCGGAACAGTCATGGCCATGGAGATTCGGTTGTTGGGAGTCTTGAGAACCCTCTGGCCGTGTTTTTCGGCGACCTTACTGAGGCTCTCCTGAAGGTACTTGAACATGGCGCGCCGTTCGTCCCGTAGCCTCAAGAATCCGGACATGCCCAGCGAGAGCAGGGTAATGAAGACGTCCATGGTCGGCGCCGCTGACGCGCGACCCGGGTACATCTGCGCGATGGCATCCACGAGCGCCCGGTCGAACCCGGCGACGACTCCGCCCCCGACGGGAACCAGAAAGTTTTTGTCCGTGCTCTGAACGAACGCGTCGAGGCGTCCGACGCGCGAAGCCTGCTGGATGAGGTGCATGCACTTGGTGCACTGCACTCCGTACGCGTTGTTTACCAGGTGCGGAACGTCGAACTCTGCGCAGAGCCGGGCGACCTCTTCTAGGCTGTCGGGCGCTCTTGGCGCGAAGCACGACGTGGTAGTGAGGACGCACGCGACAGACTCCGGTCCCAGCTCGGCGATCCTGGACCTCATGGTCGCCACGTCGGTCCGCAACTCGTCCCCGACCTGCAGGAGCTCCACGACGATCGGTTCGAATCCGGCCGTGAGGATCGACTTGAAGCACGACTTCTGGTCGATCCTGGACCAGACGACGTAGCGGGCGCGCGGACCGCGCTGCTTCCGGAAGGTCAGCATGCACAGGGACAGGCACATGCCGGTCGCCATGGGAACGATGAAGCACGACTTGGCGGAAGTCGCGCCGGCCACCTGAAGCATGTGAAGCAGCATGGAGTTGGTCAGCTTGTTCATGAGACTCGAACCCGCAGCCTTGGGCTGCGTCTCGCAGATGTCGCCCGACCGGCCGATGCCGTGGCCCATGCGGTAGTGACGTCGGCTGACGAGCGTCGACGCGATGCGAGCCTCGCGCTCACCGACGCCCGAGTTGCCGATGAAGTTGTTGCTGTCCATCATGGAGAACTGGTGGAGGAGCAGCTCGATGGTGGAGTCGTCCCAGCCTTCGTCGGGGACGCGACCCTGCTCCAGCAACTGCGACACCTTGGACTCGTGAGCGCCGATGGCCTGCCCTGCCTGAGCGACGTACGTTGGCTTGACGTACTTCTTGGCCAACGGCGATGTTGTTCGGATTCATGGTGCTGAGGTCGTTCACACCGGAGCCTGGAACGCCGTCGAAATGGTTTATCAGCTCGCTCCGTCTCTAGCACATGTCGTGGTCGCTACTCGGCAAGTCATTCAGACCACATTCACCACAAACACCGGATCAAAAACGGAAAGTCAACCAGAAAGGTTGAAAGTTTCGTATTCGTTCGCGCGACCACCAAGTAGTTCATAGCAGCGATGGCTGTACAAGGCGTCTAGCGACGAGCGGTGAAGGAGGCAGGACAGGAAAGTAATAAAGCGAGAACTTCATAACATCACTGAAAGAAAAGATGGTGGTTGCAGCGTGCTCTTACCGTCGCCGTAGACCGTAGGCGAGAACAACTTTGCTGCCGCTCGCCTTCAACAAGCGGCTGTTCTTGGTAACTGTAATAGCATGGTAATAGGGTTAGAATGCAAAAGATCGTAACCTAAAGAAAATATTGTGAGGTGCTGAACGAGTGAAATAAAGTGCCGAAGACGATTACCAGATCTTGCTGTTCAGTTGCAGACGCACAAGCACAACATGCGTGTGAACTTACTCAACTTGAATTTTGTAAGTTTCGTAGTTACCTGTTCAAAAAAAAAGACAAAGCTTCAACATTATTAATAACAAAAACGCCAATTGCAGGTGCTGGTGTGTAAATAATTATTGTAGTAAAATTATAAGTAATTAAAACAGAAGTGTTCACACTGATCTTTAAGTCAGTTTGAGCTCTCGGAGGCTACGTTTTCTTTTGTGCTGAAAACGCAAAGTGTGACGTCATGCGCAGACTGTCGGGTTTTCGGTTTGCTGTGGGGTCGCCTTTGTCGTTTCCGATGTTAGGAAGGAGGAGTTTTGTTTTGACGGTGCGTCGCGATGGGGCGAAGCGCCTAGTTCCGTGTCTATGTTTGCGACGCGCTTCCCGCTTAGCTGAGTGATTGAACACCGTGGTGTGCGGGCACATCCGTCCAATGTGCTTCCCTAGTTCCTCCTGAAGAAGACAGCTTTGGTTGTTACGCGTCGCACGACTCGTTGACAAACGCCGGCGGTCGCACCCTCACAAGAGAACCACGTAAGTTTGCTACATTTGGTTGTGTCTCGGCCTTACGAAGAAAGCGAAATCACCCGTAATCGTTTCGTACCAGTACAGCGGGCTGTCATGATGACGGATCGTAAGACCTGTCAAAGGGAGGTCGGTGAACTCCCAGAACGCGCTCAGTTGTCAAGTTACAAGCTCGGTCCACGCAGCCACTGGACGTAAATGCATCCGCCGCCGTCGTTTTGATTGACAGGCGCCGCGGAATCGTATAATGCAAAAAAACTTGTGGATACTCGTTGCCGATGGTATTTCTCGTACTGCAGAACACAAGCGTGGGTTCTGCGATAAGCAGAGGGGGGTGTCCTAAACCGCGATAACAAACAGTGCTGCGCGTGTTTCAAATGAAACTCCGATCCCCTGTTAAAACATGTGCGTTACCCGTAATCTCCTCGAAGAGTCTGGTTCTGGGCCTGTTGGTACACAGTTTGGAAACATCGACAAACCCAGCATTGCATTGAAAGAGGCGTTTTATCTTTTTTTTTTTCAAAACACTTTTATGATATGACAGTTGAGCGAATGTCATGCCGGAGCACGTTCCGCGGAGATACAGGCCCCTCGTTATCTGGTTTTAAACTTTGAATGGAGATGGGGGTCACTATATCAACACACTTTATCGCTGTTATGGGTCGGGGTCAACGCGTTTGTTGTCTGACCTGAAACGCTCGGGTTATTGATCTTTCTTACACACACATAAGAGTGTGTTTGTAAAGGTCGAAGCTAGGAATTTTTTTCGAATTTTGGGGGGAGGGGGTGCTTAAAGCCTTGACTCTATTGGTTAAACACCTATTTTTATTTATTTGTGGTGAAACACCACGATTTATTATAACTTTGTAAGGGGGCAGGGGGGCTTCCACCCACAGACCCTGGCTCGGTTGGTGTGGACAAAGGCATAGTATACAGGAGTTAGCAGTGGAATTTTTTTAGTAACAGCAACAAGAGGGGATGTGTTCAACGTTTCAACTGGAGTTCGGTGGACATGCCAAACTTGTCTTGTCGCTTTGCAAAAACTTTTATTCTCATATCTGCTTATCTACATTCAGACATTATGGTGTAATTAACTTTGATATAGCGAATTCGCAGTAATAAAAAGCTAAATGTAAACTCTGATCGGTCATGCCTAAGCAGGAAGGGCAAGGTATAACATAACTGAAAATCTGAAATGAAGGAAGGTAAATAACTAACAGCTCTGAGACGAAAATTTTGTACAGGAAATATTGGATTGTAATTATGAATTGATTATGTTGAGTGAAGATGATGAAAACATATCAGGTTACCTTCCTTAATAGTTTGAGGAAAAATGTTTTAAAGAGGTTAGCTGATAACATTGTGAGAGGGAGTGGGAAGGGCAGGTTTTCCTGGTTTCAAACATGGTTATGTAATGTCTAGGATCTAGCGGAGAAACTTGCGTTGCAATACTTCTTGCCTCTATTGAAGGGCTTGAAATTCATTAGAGCATAAATGTATACTAAGTGCCCCAGCTATCTTTAGCCAGAGCTTCAAAACACGCCGACACACTCTATGAGGATGGGACACAATTCTATTGCTTATTATTGCATGGAGTAAGTCAATATTTTTAATTTTCTACTAAATTGCCCAATTAAAATGTTTAATTAAGAAACGCCTGGGTCAGCAAATCTATAAATAAAATTCCATGCAGAAAGTTGTACGTTGGTTTGAAAAACATCTAATGAGGTGGTTTATAACTTTCTACCTTTTAATCATTATTAGTGGCTTCTGCTTACTACAGATGCCCGCGAAATATACGAGCCGACAGGCCTGTGCATAATTTGCACCACTGTCACAGGGAAGCTGGAAGAGCGGCCTTTGTAGAGCCTTTTTAAAGCTCTCTTTGAACAGCTACTGCTAGTACGCTTGCGTGCCATTCTCGACACAACAAAATCGTCATAATCCCCGCCGCGGTGGTCTAGTGGCTAAGGTACTCGGCTGCTGACCCGCAGGGCGCGGGTTCGAATCCCGGCTGCGGCGGCTGCATTTCCGATGGAGGCGGAAATGTTGTAGGCCCGTGTGCTCAGATTTGGGTGCACGTTAAAGAACCCCAGGTGGTCTAAATTTCCGGAGCCCTCCACTACGGCGTCTCTCATAATCATATGGTGGTTTTGGGACGTTAAACCCCACATATCAATCAATCATCAAAATCGTCATAATCTTTGTTTACTGGGGAAGTGCCTAATATTCCATTATTTGTCATTCTTCGGAGAAGTGTGGTACCCACTACACACCAATAAGACATTATGCCCACTTTGTTTATGCTGTGGCTGATGACAATGAATTATGGCCGAGTCTTTTGTAATGGGTTGAAAGCACTCAATGTCCCATTTGTTATGCAGTTGACATTGTAAGGTGCCAGGTTGTTACTTCACTCTTCTAAAACGCTCTATTGTGCATGTTAATGTGATTTTATTTTCCCGACATGAAGCCTGCATTGATTCTGTTGCAAAATGATATCCAAGCACTGGTGTTGCTCTCGAGTAGAATACTGGGTTCTTATGCGGAGGACCTGTGTTTGAATTCGTGATATTTTATATATATTTAATTTCTTCTTACTTTGCACAATAGCCATTAAGGACACCAGCAGCAGACAACTACGTCATCAGAAATAGCTGTTGTTGTGGCCTAATAACAGCTTTCACCTGTAAAAAAATACCACAGGACGTGCCCACTTATTTATTTATTTATTTATACTGCCAATCCCAACAGCGATTATTGCAGGGAGGGCACATACATTGTGAAAGGGCAAGATTTATACAGAGGGTACTCACTGAATTATTATAATAATGAGTGAGATAAAGCCAACAGAAATACATTTGATGACTACATCAGTACCACTAAAATACATTCAGTAGCATAGGACATCAATTCCAACTAGTACTGAAAAAAAAGAATAGTGGGCACTTCAAACAGTGGACAAGAAAAAAACAGAGTTCGTCAATTCTGATGACAATAAATAACATTCGAGCAGGGATGAAAAAGTTTCCAATGATTGACTGTTTGTTATACTGATTGGCAAGTTATTCCACTCGCGAATTGCTAGTGGAAAAAAAGAATATTTCAGACAGTCCGTCCGGCACTGATATTCATTCAGTGTCTGAGAATGCTTTTGTCGTGTTGGCCTTGTTTCTTTAAATGACATGTACTTTGAACTGTCTATGTTTAGCTGTTGGTGAACTAACTGATATAGGAATTTCTGACGTGCCAGTTTAGCGCGGTTTTTTATTGTTAAGAGACCTGCTTTTTTCAAAAGTTCTGTGGGTGAGTCAGTTATTCTGTACTTGTTATAGACAAATCTTATCGCTTTTTGTTGTATTCGTTCTAGGGCATTTATGAGATTGTTTGTAAAGGGATTGTTTGTAAACGTTTGCATATTCTAAGACAGGTCTGACAAACGCTTTGTAGGCTAGAAGTTTCGTTTCAGGTGGCGCGGAAGAGAGACTTCTACGAAGGAAAAACAGCCGTTTTAATGCAGCTGATGTGACATGACTAACGTGGATAACCCATCTAAAATCTTGCGTTAAAGTTAAACCAAGATATTTGTGTTCAGTCACTACCGGAGGTGGAGAGTTATTTATAACGTAAACAAATTCAGATACTTGCTTTTTTCTTGTTATCCTCAAGAGAGAAGATTTTTTAACATTAAGGGTCATTTGCCAAAGAGCACACCACTTAGATATGAACTGCAAGGCATTGTTCAGTTTTACATGATCTTCTGGGGCGTTAATTTCCTGGTAAAGTATACAATCATCGGCGAAAAGCCTCACATTAACACCAATGCCAGCAGGTAAATCATTAATGAAGATCAAAAATAAAATGGGGGCCAAAACACTGCCCTGCGGTACACCTGACGTAACGTTGGCTATGGTAGAACTTTCGCAATTGACTTGCACATACTGTGTTCAATTACTCAGATAATTGTCGATCCAGTCAGTAAGTGGGCCTGCGCCTATCGTTGCTTCTAATTTTTTTATAAGTTTTTTGTGTGGCACCCAATCAAACGCCTTTGAGAAATCTAATAGAATTAAATCAGTTTGTTTTGTACAGTCTACATTGAGGGAGATGTCGTGAATTAGTTCAACCAGTTGGGTAACTGTAGATAGTCCTTTGCGAAAACCGTGTTGTAGTGGCGATAAGATGTGATTCTGGTCAAGGTACAACGTTAGATGTTTAAGAATAATGTCTTCCAGTAGTTTGCAAGTTGTGCTGGTTAGTGAAATGGGTCTGAAATTCGAAGGGTCAGCTTCGCTACCAGATTTATGAACAGCAGCTACTTTTGCGATTTTCCATTCTTGGGGGAGGGACAGGTTGATAGGGACTTATTGAAAAGTATACACAAGTATTTGGCTACCCATTCAGCATATCGCCTAAGAAATTCATTTGGCAAGTTATCGGGACCGGCACCCTTCTTAGTATTTAATTTTAACAACAAATTAAGCACTCCGGACTCTGTCACAACAAGTGGTTCAATATGTCGGGTGTTGCAAATGTCAACATCAGGCACATTTTCATCATCGATCGTGAAAACAGATTGGAAATAGTTATTTAGCGAGTTTGCTTTATCTTTGCTTTCTTCCGGGGCCGCGGGCCTAATACGGTTTTTGGGATTAAGGTAGTTCCAGAACTTCTGGGGAGACGTTTTCAAAAAGTTGGGTAGCGTACTTGTAAAATAGTTTGCTTTGGACATTTTTATTTGGGATTACATCTTAGTAATAGCGTAACTCAACTTGTTCCGAATTTGTGGAGTAGGTTTTGCCTTCAAAGTTTTTCTGACGCGCTTTACTTTACGCTTGCAATGAATAATTTCACGCGTTATCCAGGGATTATGTTTTCGTGTTTTCTTTGTTTTAGATGGCACATAGTTAAGAACGCAATGTGTTACGACTGATTTGAAGTTTGCCCATAGTATTTCCACATTTGTGTTTGAATTATTCGCAAGTAGTTCAAATGAAGCAAGTTCATGGAAAAGATGATCAAGTATACTGGTGTCATCGGCATGGTTAAGGTCAAGATAGGCAGAAAAGGAGTTGGACGGTATAGGGATGTCAACTATAGAAACGGAGGCCTGAATAACTTCGTGGTCTGATATGCCCTCAAGAGTTTCAACCTGTGCATTATCTGCAGGAAAATGATCGCTTAAGAACACGTCGAGTATATTAGAACAGCACCCTTGGATACGGGTAGGTTGTTTTACGATTTGGGACAGATTAAATGTCAACATGATGTCAATGAGCGCATGCGCTGTTGTGTTGCATTGTTCGCCAGTTTATATCGGGTAAGTTAAAGTCGCCGAGCAAAATTAGCCTGGCTCCGAGAACATACCGATGCATATACGTGTGCAATGCCTGCAAGCTATCCTTGTCTGAAGATGGGCTGCGATAAACGCAGCCAACAAATACTGGGCGAGAAGTGAAGAGAAGCTTGCAAAATATTGCCTCAACTCCGATAACCTCAGGAAGTATTTCAAAGGAAAGCTCTTTTTTAAGTAGGATGGCCACACCTCCCCCGCGTGTCTGCCTATCTTTACGAATGATGACGTAGTTGGGGGGTGTTACCTCAAAATCCTTTATCTCATTTGTCAGCCACGTTTCTGTCAAAGCCACGAAGTCAGGTTCAATTCCAAGAAGTAAGGATTCAAGCGGTACTAATTTTTGAAGCATGCTACGGGTGTTTATGGTAAGAAATGTTATTTCTTTCGTTGGCTGCGGCGTTGTGACTTATGCACCTATGTGTGCTGTGATTGCAGTGCTTCCTAACGTTTTACGTACAAATTATATGCTTCCCTTTTGATGGTTTATGACAGTGATAAGCAGACATAGCGTTTATCACTAGCGAAACGTTCAACATCACACAGCCGCCGCTATCATTGCTGTCCTGTCAAGGCAGCACGCTCGGCCAAGTGCTATGGTCGTTTGCTCATGGAACGTTGAGGAGCACTGCAGTCACGGTGTGCTCAGTCGTGCAGGCGGGCTTGTTACGTGATATCTTTTCGTATTTCCTGGGTAAGCAGAAATACACAAATACATAACCAATATAAAGTTTCAAACAGTCTAATTGAACGTTTTGCATGCAGATCTACGGCTTCATATTGGAGTTCCTTGCCCAGCTTCGCTAAAGTTAATTGAAGATGCATCTAATGTGGTTGCTTGGGCATGTTGGTAGGACATTGTTCCTCGTGTTAAATTTCCTCGTGTTAATTAAAACTGCCTAATTAGGCAATTGGGAAAAAAACTAATGATAGCGTGAATTCATGCAGTGGTTGTCAACATGCATTTGGTCGCATTGCCTTAGTGTGTCAGCATATTTCAAAACTCTGGTTAGAGTTAGCCGGGCATCACTTGTACATATGCTCGTGCACGCACATGCACACAAAAAATCATCTATCCCTCCTTGGTAGCTTAGTGACTGAGAGGCATTGCAATGCTAAGCATGAAGATTTTGGTGGTAACCAGCAGTCGAACTGAATCCAGAATACTGCCTTACAGTGTGCCTCACAACGGTTCTAGCATGGTTCTAGCACTATATCCTCCGAATCTTTCTTTCTCATCCTCAGATGTCCATCACAAGCCCTTCTCCAATACCATGCTGACAGTGAAGACTCGCCATGGAGCTCGAATGCCCAGACGATGCTCAAACGGATGCAGCATCGGCAGGAGGCGACGGCGCACAAAAGAACGGCCTGGCCAAGATGCCGGCGAGTGAGGAACAGACGATTGAGGTGTTTCTGAAGGAGTTCGCTCCGTTGACCCACCTGTTGAGCCAGCTGCCTCAGAATGCGCAGAGGGGCCTCACCAGAGTGGGCGTCAAGCTGACGTGCCTGGACGTCGTAGCCGAGTACATCGCCATTGGCTCCAACGTTGGGGTCGTCTTCCTCTACGACCGGACCAAGAACACGGTGACCAGGCTAAGATGCACAGTGAGTATGATGACACAGGGCCTTCCTCGTGCCCTAAAGACACCAAAGGCAAATCACAATATACGTCTAAGTGAAAGGCCAATGCTCGAGAACACTTGAAAGGTCGATATTATGTTTGACTGCACTGTAGTAATCCAGAGCGTAGTTCAATATGTAATCCAGAACGTAACCTGTAGTAATCCAGAACACAATCATGCCCTATATGCCCTCATGGGAAGCGTAGGGCATGAATTGCTCCACCAGTGGGACATTCTTGTACTATCTTTAGACCCCTTTATAAGATAAGAGATAGCTCCGGGGAGCAGTTCCTGTTTCTTATGTGAGAAGTTTCTTATAAGCATGGTGCTTCGTTTTTACTTTCTCATCAATCCCTATTTTGGAGTAGGCACGCTGGGTGTCTTTTGCACCTAATTGTCTCTTACATTAGTTCCCTTTTAAAGGGGTTTTACTATAACCCGATGACGTAGAAGGCCTCAGTATGATCATTCACTAGTACTCACTATTCATCACAGAAAGAATATTGCAATAAATTGCAAGATGAGATGTAATTGAAAATGGTGAATTTCAGTTTTATTGATGAAAAATTAACTTCTTCACATGGTCCTTGAGAGCGATGTTTTTTGTGTGGCTTTGCACTGCAGTGTTGGCTGTCGAGCAGTAAAGGGTAGGCATTTCAAATTGTACATCAGAAGGCCATCTTTAGAGGCAGACGGTTTGAATTGGATTAATGGTTTGTAGACTACGAAAATGAGAATTTCTTTTAAACTGAGCATTTCCTTGGCATGAAACAAACACTGTGGGGTTTCTGAAATGTTGTTTAAACAATCGACATTAACTTGGTATTTGCTTTTAATGTCCCTTAAATGGATGCCACGGAGTAAGCTGTTTGAACAGGTCTTACAGGTACTCATTTGCAATCTGTGACCACTCTGCCAGCTGTGTTATGTTTGTTTGAACGTCACCAGCTGGGAGTCCTCATTGTTTTGAGTGTGTCAGTTCTGCACACTCCTTTACCTGTTAGAGCCGGCAGTGGGCGTCATATAACTTAATGACACTAACATTGTGTTACGACGCCATATGTTACCTAATGCCACTGCGATAGTGCTCACAAAACTGTTCAATCATGGATGTGCTGCAAGCAGGCCTGTACTTATCAAGGAATGAGGAATACCATCGGAAAAGGGTTCGCAGAGCACTTTTCTGAATAATATTCTGTATTGTATGTTCTAGTTGTATTCCGGAAATGGTCAGTCAGAAGTACTTGAAAAGCGCTTCTCACTGACCATTTCGATTAGGCTACATGGGCAACATATGGAGCTTGTGCAGCCGCCATGACGGTCTAGTGGGTATGGGGGTTCGAATGCTGGCTCGCAGGTCCTGTGAGGGAATCTTGGCCGTGGTGGCTGCATTTCCACTAGAGGCGGAAATGCTCGAGGCCCATGTAGTACTTGGATTTGGGTATACATTAAAGAGCCCCAGTTGGATGAAATTCGTGGAGCCCCCTCCGCTACGTCGTCTGTGAGAACCATATGGTGGTTTTGGGACGTTAAACCGCAACAATCAACGGGGCTAGTGCGAAGTGAAACGTGGTGACACAGAGCTGACGTGCTATTCCTTATATTGTTGTATTCTATAGACCCCCTGAATTTTGGACGAGTTTATACTAGTTAGGTGACATGACTAAACTAGGAAATTCGGGTGTAACAAGTCAGCCGGCACAAGACAGGGGCTAATTGGAGGTCAATGCGAAAGGAGCTCGTCCTGCAGTGGTCACGAAAACTAGATTGATGGAGAGTGTGCTAGTTAAGTGCAGCCGCCCCATTTATTCGAGTGAAACTTAAAAAAAAAAAACTACTACTTTTTTTTTTTATTTTATTCATAATACCCCTAAAGGCCCTCGTGAGAGGGTATTACATAGGGGGGTTACATGAGCAAAATTACAAACAATAAAACGTCAAAAACGAAAAAAAGGTAAAAAAATTCAAATTAAATACAGACTAAGGTTGAGATATATGTTATAACAAGTAATTGGTAAAAACAGCAAAAATAGAGAAAAGAATAGGCAACAAATCATTGGAATACAGATAAGTACCCAGTGAACAACCTATGAAAATGCAAGAAAAAATAATCAATACACTTGAAAAAAAGAAAAAAAGAAAACAAATAAAGCGTACACTCAAAAACGAATAAAAAAATATACACTCACTCATCACACCTCAAATAAGCTGAATCAAGGTAAAAATACTACACGTGTGCTCTGCACGTTATAGAAAAGAGGGAAAAACAAGTAAAAGAGCAAAAGTTAGATGATGTCAGTATTTTGAATTAGTTCTTGAAATTTCGTGGCGTTTTTTTCTAAGGCAATGTGTGATGGTAGATTATTCCAATCGATTGTGGTACGCGGAATGAATGACTTGGAAAAAGCAGATGACTTACAGTTTCAGCGTTTAACTTTGTAGGGGTGATCGCGGCGAGGAAAAATAACGGCAGGTGGCTCGAAGAAATCGCTGTGAAGTGACACGTGGTGATAAAGTTTATGGAAAAGTGATAGGTGTGCAAGTTTGCGACGATGGAATAGTTCGGGTAGCTCTGCTCGGCGTTTTAGTGCTGTGACGCTGGAATGACGTGAATAATCTAAAAATATGAAGCGAGCAGCACGATTTTGCAGTGATTCAATGTCGTTTATGATGTAAGCATGTTCGGGATCCCAAATGGCTGATGCATATTCTAATTTTGGACGTATTAGTGTAGTAAATGCAAGTTTGCGTATGTTAGGAGGAGCCTGTTTAAGGTTACGCTAGAGAAATCCGAAAGACCGGTTAGCAGCCGCCAGGGTGAGTTTTATATGGTAGTGCCATGACAGATCAGGTTGCAAATGAATACCAAGATATTTATAAGTGGAGACGAGGTCAACAGTAGTATTATTCAACACGTAGGAGGTAGGAATCCGGGTTACGTGTTTACTGAAAGACGTAGACTTCGTTTTAGAGCAGTTAAGGGTCATTAGCCAAGATGAGCACCATGCATTAATAGCATTTAAATCAGTTTGCAAAGCTTTCCAGTCATTGTCAGAGGAAATTTTTTGGTAAATCACACAGTCGTCAGCAAAAATTCTAATTCGGGATGAGACACAGGATGGCAAGTCATTAATGTAGATTAGAAACAGTAGTGGACCAAGTACGCTACCCTGTAGGACTCCAGAAGTTACTGGTCTGAAGGAAGAGTTACAATTGTTAGCGGACGTGAACTGTGTTCTAGAAGAAAGGAAATCTTTTACCCATGCCAAAATGTTAGGGTGAATGTTAAGCCTAGACAGTTTGGTTAGAAGCCGGTGATGAGGGACACGGTCAAAAGCTTTAGAAAAGTCGAGGAAAATAGCATCAACCTGGGATCCACCGTCGAGAGCTGAATGTATGTCATGAATGAAGCCGGCGAGCTGCGTGTCACATGAGTATCCTCGGCGAAAGCCATGCTGATATTTATGTATAATGTTATGATCTTCCAGGTAGTTAATTACTTGGGTGTGGATTATATGTTCAAGAAGTTTACAAATGGTACTGGTTAATGAGATGGGACGATAGTTTAATGGCGATGAGCGTTCACCAGACTTGATGGGAATTACTTTAGCGATTCGCCAGTCATGTGGGATGCAGCCTAACGATAACGATTGTGAAAAAAGGGCGGACAGTATGGGACAAATGCTAGCTGATATATTCTTTAGTATCTTATTATTAAAGCCGACATGATCAGAAGCAGTAGAAATTTTGAGTTTATTTAGTAAGGAGAATATACCCGCTTCACTGACTATTATTTCTGGCATGCTGATATCGGGAATGAGGTTAACTTTCGGGCATGACGGGATGTCTTTACACGTGAATACCGAAATGAATGCGTCGTTTAAAACTTGTGCGCACTGAGACGAGGGAATGACGCTGTTATTACTGGTGGTAAGGACTATATCAGGATGATCAACAGGATTGATGACACGCCAAAATTTCCTAGGGTTATTTAATAGCATAGATGTTAAGTCATGTTTGAAGAAATGACGTCGAGTTGATGTGAGCAGTGACTGATATTCCTTATCACATGTTTTGTAGCGTAACCAGGAAACTGAAAGGGGGTCTATTTTATTGGCGTGGCGGTGAAGTCTTTTCTTTTTGTTATTGAGGCGTCAAAGCTGTTGGTTATACCATGGAGCGGTGTTTACAGTTTTGATGGTGATTTCAGGAAATGCTGGACGCCATCACCTCCATATCCCTCATCTCGTCCGTGGACTTCATGCTGGTCGTGGGTTGCCAGAGTGGCCTCTGCGTCGCCTACCAGATTCCCATGGCAGGGAGACAGTCAAAGGTGCGTGCTCACGGACACATGTTGAGCAGGTTGGCCGAGATAGGTTGACAATGTGTGGTTTGTCTGTTGGCAAGACAAAACGCCCAAAAGCTCGCGCATGAAATACACACATGCAGGCTCCTGTGCGTTCATATTTTCCATGCATATGTGACGTTGCCTTCATGCCTTTTGCCTTGAAAACATTACCAGGCTTCCATCCTAATGTCTGAGAGTGAGGCCTCACAAGCGTTGGCCTTTCTGCGCACTGGCACGATGAATCAAGTGAGATCGGCCAATTTGTAGGAGTTTACACTTGGAAGAAGCGTTTGTTCAAGTCTCTATTGTCATCTAGTGTGTCTTCTTTGGACTATCATTCTCCATATTTTCGAAACTGGTAACCTGCGAGACACTGTTTAGTCTGCAGTCAGAAAGCACACAGCGGTAGAAGCCACCTATGTCTTGCTATCTAAGCCACCTATGTCCACAAAGAAAACAAGCCCTTAAAATTTACACTTTCCTTCATTCGAGCTATCTTTGTCATAAAAAAGCAGCGTACTATTCGACAGCAATCTTTGCAAATCTTTAGGGCTGGTAATTGGCCTAATGTTTCTTTGCATATTTGCCTCTACACCAGCTGAGCAGACATGCAACACCTGCAGGCTTGTCGAAACTGTGAATTATCCCTCATGATGGCCTCAGAGATTTTTGGTATGCCATGGGTACCCAATCTTGCAGGCTCTTGAACACTTCCAAAGAGCAGTAATGACGACAGTGTTTTTTTTTTCAGATTTAGTATCAGAAACGTCTGCATTTGCTAGCTTTTCATGACAGATCCGTTCATAATTCGCATAAAAAATTTTGTGCTGTGGCTACCACATATTTATGCTCCCTGAAAATAGGCTCCTTAGCCTGTACGCTGCCCAAAGTTTCATTGTTGGGACCCTCAATACAGGTTGATGATGAGGGTCAAATGACTGCCTCCAATCTCTAGCTTAAACTCTTGTGGTACTGAAAAAATATGTAAGCAATAGAAAGAGGCACCTTTTGCAAAGTTCTAATTCAGGTGGTTCTGCAAGCATGAAGAATAAATGTTGTAATAAACATTTCAGTTTCAGCGCTACAAATGGGTGTCCGCAGCTGGGGACATTATTTGCTAGGATCAGGAAAACGCATCTGATGAATGTGCGTTCCTGCTTTCATTGCTTTGAATATTTGTTTTAGACTATTCCCTAGGGCCAGATCTATCATCACTTTTGTATGATAATGCGTGAAATAAAGATAACCAGTTTCAAAAGTTTAAGGGGTTAGGTCCGAGCAGCCACGCGTTGTGGATACTGCTAATCGCCATTTGCTTTTGTGCACACACCAGCCACTAAAAATAACTTGTGCTGCTCAATCTTAGTGTGTGGGTAAAGAGCACTCTAGACGAGTCTCGAATAGTACTGAGTAGTTTGCTTTTGTTGAGTTTTTGAAGGGGCCCTGGAACATTTCTCGAAGTAACTGTCAAATGAATTAAGTAAAGGAGCTTTTGCTTCGACCGTCGAAAAAATTTTTAGAATCCGTCCGGTACGAGTGGAATTGCAAAAATTTGTCGCACACTGCAATTGCTTTCGCTCTTTTCTCGTCCCGATGAAAGCGCTGGAAGCTAAATAGAGAGTGTTATGCCAGCGAGTCCTCGTCAAACGTCCGTGCCTCTGAAAAAGGCAATCTGGGTCAAGGCCAGCCCGCAGTCCGCCTGACGCGAACATCTCAACGGCGTGAACACGCGCGGCGCTTCTCTGGCCCACGTGCATTGAGTCAGCTGCGCACGTGACAGCGAGCCGGCGTCCTCGTGCCTGGTGGTCTGACGCATGGCGCGGCGGCCCCATTGGCGGAACCTGCCCTGACGACCAGCGGCGCTTCTGATTGGACTTTTTGGTTGGACCCGGTGCAAATAAAAGAAGCCCTGCGGCGTGTCGCGATCGGCAGTCCTATGAGAGAGGAGTCCCCATGTCGGAGAGCCGACATGTGTGTGAGTCAGCGGTCTTAGGCGAAAGGCTGACCTATGTGTTAGAGAGGAGAGCTCGGCTCTTCGAGTCTCTGTCGGCCCCAGTGCCGAAATTGTAACGCCTCTGTATATATGCTGTACATAAACCTTGTTTAACTCACCGTCGTCTCGTCCGCTCGTCTTATCAGCTCGGCGCAGAAGCAGTCGCGAGCTGAGATACATACGCTACCAAACAGCTGGTGACCTTCCCGGCGGAGTTGAAAGCAGTGGCGCCTTCGAGGCCGTGTTGGCGTCCCCGTCTTTCGCAACAGTGGTGGCTTCGGCGGGATCGGTACGCTACGCAACAGTGGTGGCTTCGGCGGGATCGGTCCGTCGTTCGCAACAGTGGTTGGCAGCTGCGGGATCGGCCGGCGTCAGCGACATCGATGCGGTGAGTGCCTGATGTTTTCCCCTCAGTTCACCAGACTACTCTAGCTCAGGTTGTAGTAGTTTAGAGAAGGGCTGTGTGAAGCATTAGAGTGAGCTTTGATCGTTTCAAGCAAAGTCGAAGTGCTTTGAAACCAAAGTTAATGCGGAGGGGGTAAACACGGGAGAGTGCAAAATTGCTTGCGCGTCTTGCTAGTTGACTTATAGTGTGTACGGCAAGCAAATTGTTAACAGGGGCAAACAGCAAGAGGCTAGTGTGAACGATGGAGAACCTTAAAGTGAAGGAACTCATCGAAATTTGTGAGGAACTCGGCATTACTTTGGGCCGTGCGAAACGAAAGCAAGCGATCCTTGAGATCATGAAGGATGAGGGAGTGTCGGCTGAGGAAGTCGATGAGGCCTGGGTGGAGATCAAAGCACGCCGCGAGGAGGCTGAAAGGCGAGAAGTTCGCGAACGTGAAGAAGCTGAAAGGCGAGAACGCCGCGAAGAGGCCGAGAGACAGGAGCGCCTTGAGTTGAAACGAATAGAATTGGCAATGCTACAGTGTTCGCAGGCGCCTAGCGTAGCTTCTCCGACGATTCAGGTCAGCGGTTTTAGAATTCGGGACCAACTGCCACCGTTCGTAGTAGGCGAGGACATGGCGAAGTATCTCGTCAAGTTTGAACACGTCTGTGAGCGAAATGCTTTGGAGCAGTCTCTTTGGGCGCGGAACCTGCTAGCTCTTCTTCCCGGCGAAGTGTCCGACGCGATAACTTGCTTGTCTAGGGAAGCGTTTGAGAGCTATGACGAGGTTAAGGAAGTGCTCTTGAGACGTTATAAGTTGTCACCTGAGGCTTTCAGGCAAAGGTTCCGGTATGCTGAAAAGGGGAATGAGTCACACGTTGACTTCGCGTTTCGTCTTAAAGCCGATTTAATTGAATGGCTCAAGGGCGAAGGTGTTTATGATGATCGCGATAAAGTGGTGGAATGCGTTGCACTGGAGCAGTTCTACCGCTGCATCGAGGATAATGTCAGACTTTGGCTGCAGGACAGACTTAGTGAAGTACAGCTAAACAAGGCAGCAGAGTTAGCTGAGGAGTATTATACTCGCCGAAAGTTGCACAGCAGGGCAGTGCGCGTTGAAAAAGATGAGAGAAAAGAGGGCTTTTCAAGGAAACCTGATCAACGGAAACCCGTTCCGCACCGTAATTTCAAAAAGGACCCGTCTCTTACTAAGGACAGTGTAGGGGAAGGGCAAGCAGAAGCGGAGAAATCGAGTGAGGTTTCTACCACACAGGCATTTGAATCGGAAAACAAACGGAAGCCGCTAATCTGCTACAACTGCAAAAAGGAAGGGCACATCGCGAGAAACTGTCAGGAAAAGTTTGCTTTCGCAACGATCCGAGAATCAGAAAAAAACATTCGGTTGTTGGAGCCGTATCTCCAAGAAATTAGGGTGAATGAGAAAACGTGCCGAGCACTTAGAGACTCAGCGGCAACCATGGACGTTGTCCATCCTTCATTGGTGTCTCCGGATGACTTCACAGGAGAATGCGCGTGGATCAGGCAGGTCGCCGAGGAGCAGAGTGTTCGCTTACCAATCGCCACAGTTGTCATTAAAGGCCCGTTCGGTGAGCTTCGCACCGAAGCGGCTGTGTCTGCCGCGCTGAACGATCGTTTTCCTTATCTTTTCTCCAACAACTCGGAGCAGCTCCTCAAAGAGCAGGGCAAATCGTTCTTCCCCAACTTTGCGTGCATGGCCCTCACGCGATCGCAAGCACGAAAGCTTTCGCAGAAGCTGGACCTGGTTTCAGGCGGTGAGCTCTCAAGTGACCTTGTCGGCGGGTCGACGGAACCCCAGAAAGGAAAGTTTCCGCATGAGTCATGTGAGCAGTCACGCGAGCGGCCCGTCGCCGACACGACCGGCGCGGTTTCCGGAGAAAGGGGAGACGACATGGCGCCATTGAGTCAGAGCGAGAGGGCTGCAACGCTCTCGCCTGTAGCGGAAAGTTGGAGCGAGCTGCCGAGAGTTGATCGAGAGACGCTCACTCGAGAGCAGAGTGAGGATCTCTCGATTGAAGCGCTAGTGGAAAGCCAAGTTGAAGCGCTAGTGGAAAGCCAGAAAAACGCGGCAAAAGTGCTGTCGAAGGAGCACTACGAGAAATCGGGGAAGAAGCGCGCTTTTGAAGTTGATAATCAGGTAATGCTGCTGCAGCCGTCCAAAAGGAACAAGCTTGAGGTTGATTGGGAAGGGCCCGCAAAAGTAGTATCGAAGCTTTCTTATACCAATTGTGAAGAGAAATTAGGAAGGCGGCCGAACAAAATTTATCACAGTAACTTGAAAGCAGTCGTAAATTTACTCTTAAATGCTTCAGAGGAAGAAGAAGCAGAAATTTTTAGTTCTAGTGAGGTAATCGAAAAGAGATCGAAGGTAATCTGGGAACAGCTGAACCTAGAGCCTAGCTTAAGTGACGGAGGACCTGAGAAAGAGGGCCTGAGAAAGATTGTTTCCGAGTTTGGGTATGTGTTGTCGGACCGTCCCGGAGACACGACGGTGATCGAACACGATATCGAGCTAAGCGGTGAGGAGTCAATCTGTAGCAAGCCGTATCGTTGTTCCCCTGTGCAACGTCGCAAGTGTGAGCCGCTCTTGGTGCCGCATAGGTATCGTCGCCTAAAAGTGGCCGGTTACTGAGGTGGAGCATGTTGCTCCACAGCGCAACTTTGACGTTCGCTATCAAAAAGAAATAAAGGAAAGGTAAACGCTAATGCAGGTGCATTGAGCAGTGCGTTCCAGCTAGTAACTTCTCAACCTTTCGGTTTCTGGCAGGCGATTCGGGGCAAAATTTTGACCTCATCACGACCTGGGCTGAGCGATCTCGTTTAGAGTGATCTCAAGGGGCCAAATTTTGTGGTATTCTAATTCGTTACGTTGTTGTACGTGGGAAAAAAAATTGAGTTGTCATTTTAAGAGTCTTGTGTCCCACATGTGCCTCTTGATGTAGAGGGAACAAAATTCCGATAGACACGTAGATAGGTATATGTTGTACTATACTTTGTCTGGTGTTCTGTCGGGTGACCGAAGGCACTTGCGTGTGTCGTGTGTTGTCTGTTGTCGATCCGTTCTTGGCAAGTTGCAGAACCATCGACAAGTGCTGAAACCGAAGATGGTCAGAAGAGACGAGTGAAGCTGGTCAGCAAGTTGTGGCGACAAGCCAGTGGAGCTGGGATCCGTCGTCAAAAATGGGACGTGTTCCCGGAACAGTCTGGAGCTGTATTCTCCCCATGGCCCTGGAGGCGAACCGGGAGGGACCTGGCGAACGAGCGCACCTGACATCCGAGCCCCGTGGAAGCAGCTCGTCTTTCCGGTGCATTGTCTGGCGGCGGGGGTGCTGTTATGCCAGCGAGTCCTCGTCAAACGTCCGTGCCTCTGAAAAAGGCAATCTGGGTCAAGGCCAGCCCGCAGTCCGCCTGACGCGAACATCTCAACGGCGTGAACACGCGCGGCGCTTCTCTGGCCCACGTGCATTGAGTCAGCTGCGCACGTGACAGCGAGCCGGCGTCCTCGTGCCTGGTGGTCTGACGCATGGCGCGGCGGCCCCATTGGCGGAACCTGCCCTGACGACCAGCGGCGCTTCTGATTGGACTTTTGGTTGGACCCGGTGCAAATAAAAGAAGCCCTGCGGCGTGTCGCGATCGGCAGTCCTATGAGAGAGGAGTCCCCATGTCGGAGAGCCGACATGTGTGTGAGTCAGCGGTCTTAGGCGAAAGGCTGACCTATGTGTTAGAGAGGAGAGCTCGGCTCTTCGAGTCTCTGTCGGCCCCAGTGCCGAAATTGTAACGCCCCTGTATATATGCTGTACATAAACCTTGTTTAACTCACCGTCGTCTCGTCCGCTCGTCTTATCAGCTCGGCGCAGAAGCAGTCGCGAGCTGAGATACATACGCTACCAAACGGCTGGTGACCTTCCCGGCGGAGTTGAAAGCAGTGGCGCCTTCGAGGCCGTGTTGGCGTCCCCGTCTTTCGCAACAAGAGGGATGGCAGGGGGGTAGAAAATGCACCATGCGCACCTCTTGTCCTTGAGCATTTTTTTTTTCAAATGCGTGCCTTTTCGGTACGATCACTTGTGCGCGCGTGCACAGGTTGTGGCCTCCTGCGGCGGCCCCAGTAAAACCTGAGCGAGGCATGTTCAAATCGGCCAATGGCGTGATACTTGGGCCAGTAACGCAATGATTTCTCAGTATATAGCATCATTTGTTGAGAGAAGAGGAAGCGATTTTCAGCTGATGTTGAGAATTTACTGTAAATTGCAGGCCACGCCCTGTGCTATAATATTTGGTTTGCATGTTCTTGGGATCCTCGACTACTGATCGTCTGTGTTTTTTGATCACGCTCATAAATTGTTGGGGCCTTTCCAGAACTTACAAACATGGACGTGGGTAGCGGAAAGTGTAAGGGTCCTTTTAATCGATTTCAGATGGAGAAGTACCTAATCAGGGACATTCACCACGCGCCCATCACATCTGTCTGCTGGAGTCCAAATGCCATGAAGTTCTACAGCGGTGACGCAGTAGGGTGTGTCACGTGTACAGAGATAGACTATAATCAGGTAAGCATGCCTGAAGATTTCGAGGGAGAGGAAGAGGCTGCCCAGGTCTGATTTCGGTCTGCCTCAAGGCAATGATGAGTCTTGATTGTACGTGACCTTGTGCCATTAAAATGCATCTTGTGTGATCAGTATCTAGGAGCAGTTTTTTACTTTCCAAATCTTGCATTTCATAAGCATTTGTTCTGGGGCCGTAAAGCACTCCAAGTTGAAAAACTGGAGGGTGGTGTCGTTATCACTTTCACTACACTCCCTACAGTCGCCATTTCCTTCTCGCCATTTATTTCCTCACAAAACGTGTGGACATTGCAGCCACAGCCCTGAACTATGGGGGGGGCAGCGGGGCGCGCACCCCCACAGAACATCTCTGGTGGCGCCCCCACTGGAGGCACTTTCAATGTTTGACTTATTTCATGACGAAGCAAATGACACCTAGTACTCTTGCGTCTGGAAACAGTGACCCTTTGCTCTACAGAAACTATCTTTAAAGCTTGTCGAAGCGAGAAAGATAATTCAGGCTGGTAGAAAGAGCATTAGTGAACTACGCCGAAGCCTCTCCCACTTATGTGCCAAAAGCTGGCTAAAGCTGGTCAACATTAGATTCACGTGTCATAATCCCAGTTTTAAATTGAAAAAAATAAAGGTGGTAGCATATTCACAGAGTGGATGATGAGTGGGATCATTCGGTGTTGCCGTAAATCATCCATGACATTGACCACTCACACCTGTAAATGAGTGACAAAGCGATGTACAGTTATATATACTATGTATATTGGTCATAAACGGTATGTCGTGTTGAGTTATGACATTTGTTTAACCTTCATTATTACCACTTGGTGATACCAGACATACCAGACCTAGCCTAAAGTTGCCGAATACGAGGTGTGTGTATATATATATATATATATATATATATATATATATATATATATATATTGTAAGGTAGACAGCTCCGCTAGGACTCTGGCACGGCCGCATACTCGGCTAGAAAAGCGAAGAATGAGTGTAGAATAAGAACGCTAGCCCAGGATATCGGGTGTTGTCTCTTGTTCTCTGTCTAGTTCATGACAATAGCGCAGTCCGACAAGTCAACCCTCTGCGGCAAGCCACCGGTACGTGTCTTCGTGGTTCGTCAGCAGCGCGGGCTGTTCCATCGAGGAACGCCTTTCACGCTTCCTTGGCATTGGGGTCCCACCCGCCGCTTCAGCTACCCTTCATACTGCCAGTGGACGGTGTCAGGCCTTCCCTGGGGTTCTAAGGCATGACCTGATTGACACCCTGCCACCATTTCACGGCAGGGTTTCGCACCGGCTCCTGACCTTTGGGAATGCCGCTCACACTTCCCATGGCCTACATTCTCGTTGTGGTACTCTTTTAACATACGAGCTGCCACAAAACGTCGTCCAGGCTTACCGTACCGGCATGAGGGATACAATTGCTACTTACTCAAAGACCGCGATCACTGACTCTTCGGGCTTCACGCCCGACAGTGTCGCGGACCTGTGGCATACCATTGCGCTACTCTGCATCAAGACTAAAGAACTGACAGCATTGATCTCCGAGCGAGTGCCTACAATGTTGCCAGCATTGCGTGCCATTAACGCAGTGTTAGATGTAACTGCTTCGCATGACCTTGAGGCAAGCCCACCGGAGCAGCGAAGAGAGCTACGGTCTTCTCTCATCGAGCTCTCACACCAGCTCGCCTGCTTCGCGTCGGTGATCTCTGCGTTGCCACCTGCCACCCCACCAACACCGGCCGTCTGCGAACTACCAGGAATTCCACGGGTTCCAGAACAACGCCGACAGCTGTGTGGCAACTGTCAACGCGCTAGCAGTGCTGTGAGGCTTGGACGGAGCCTCAGAAATGGTGCGGGGCCATAGACCGCCTTCGGGAAGGTGCCGCGGCGTGGCACCAGTATGAAGGCGTGAAGCAGCTGTGCTGGGCGGACTGGAGCTACAAGCTCATAGCTGCTTTTGGCCGTACTCCTGACTTCCTCTCCGCCACCGCCCCATCTAACCTGGCCGGTATCGAGGAGGAAGCTCCAGAGGCTTTCACCTTGAGGCTGCAGCTGTGCGTTGCAGCTTATCACTCGAGCAGTTAGACAATTTGTCGATACCCGAAGCAAGTTCACTGTGGCCAGAGGCCGCTACCGAAGTCGGACCTTATGAAGGGCGTTCCTCCAACGAAACAGCTGCAGAGAATCATCTTGACTGTGCTGCATTGCCCTTCATTGACGCGCCCACTTTCGCACACCGAGCTGAAGGGGAGCAACAGCTCGAAGGTTCCTCAGGTGCCCTTCAGCCCCGCAACAGAAAGCTTCTTCGCCTGTCCCTACAAGTTATGTCAAACGCAGGTGCGACACTCCACTGCTGCTCTCAGTACCTGTGCCGGTACGCGACGCCATTACATCAGTGGAAGAGGGTGAGACCAATCCTCATACAGCTCAGTTGAAGAAGTTAGCCCCACTATCACCTTTACTGAGGCAAGTAGAGACACCAGCATCGCCTATGCTTGAACAGACTACGGTCATGGCGCGGGTAGAGCCCAAGGTAACCACTGCTAGTCTCACTGACCAAGATCATGAGGAGAAAGTTGGCGCTCAAGATGCAGACAGCAGCCAATACGATGACAACTTCACAGAATGTCCTGCCGCAGATGCCAAGACCGGCCGTGAATAATGTTCTCTGCCACACATCACTGAAATTGCGTACCCACTCTCGACACCAGCCAAGGCACCTAGCACGTCTTTTGGGATACTCTTTCAGCAATTCTCGTATGGCGTTCTACGTCTGCCGCTGATTTCGGGGCCCGTCCGAAGCGCGCTGTCAGATGTATGTTTAGATGCTGCCCACGAAGAGTCTCTGCATGGCCGAGACCGGCCACAACGATGCAGCCAGTCTCGACCTCCCGATAGACTTGTGGCAGACTCCGGCACCCAGTTCCAGCATGGCCGAGGCCGACCTCCGAGATGCAGCCAGTATTGACTGCCAGACCTACTTCTGGCAGATACCCAGACCAAATCACAGCATGGCCGAGAGCGTCGGCCACAACGGGGCAGCCAGTGCCAGCCGCCTGAGTCCACCGCACTTTTTCAAGAGACATCGTGGCATGCAAAACAGCGACCAGCTCAAGGCAGCCAGTGCTGTCCACCAGAGACGCTTCCCCCGGACCGTCGCCCCATGTTGCATTGTGGTCCGGGCCGACCACCATGACGCAGCCAAGCCTGCCCACCAAAAACTTTGCCGCCAGCTCCGCGCGAGCGCAGTCGTGGCTGAGTGTAAGGAAGACAGCTCCGCTAGGGCTCTGGCACGCCCGCATACTCGGCTAGAAAAGAGAAGAACGAGGTGAGAATAACAACAGCTGGCCCAGGATCGGGTGTTGTCTCTTGTTCTCTGTCTAGTTCATGACTATATATATATATATATATATTATGAAGTCGGTCTGGATTACCTTTTATTAGGCCCGAGGAACCGGCAGCCGACAGCTACGATGAATGAGCCAAGATGATGATGCTACGCGACAACGATGAGGATGCATGAGCCACACATGATAATGATGATAATGTACCGGTGAAGAGGATGCGTATACTAAATGCCCACAATATATATATATATATATATATATATATATATATATATATATATATATATATTGTGAGCATTATTTATGCGTCCCATCTTTTCATCTAAACATAATCATCATCACCAGTCAAGTTTAGGTTGTGGGGCACATACTCGAGTCAATAAAGGAGAGTCTTGAGTGTTCTCGACGCCATCTTACAAGTGGTGGAGAGTGCTGCACGGTTCCTGCGTCCTCTCGTGTTCTCGGACACCCCAGTGTCTTTTAGAACACATCCCTGGAGCTCCGTTCAGGCCGCCGCTTAAACGACCTGGGTCCGGTAATGTCGCAAGCCGCCCAGTCCAGCGTGCCAGCTTCGCCACCGCTCCCACCACCAAGAAACCCTTCTCACCTGGTCACCAGCCCTCAAAAGGATCCTCCGCTGTTCGCAGGGCTTCCGGGTGAAGACGTTGAAGACTGGCTAGAGGAGTATGACCGCGTGAGTGTTATCAACAACTGGGATGAGCCTGCGAAACTCACCCACGTTGCATTCTACTTGAGCGGCGTCGCAAAAACGTGGTTTTTCAACCACGTCACAGATTTTCCGACATGGTCCGCCTTTACACGTCAGCTCCGCCAGATTTTCGCCAACCCGTCAGTGCGCTCGGATATAGCCAAAAAGAGGCTTGGTGCACGTGTTCAACGCCCTGGCGAGTCTTACACTTCTTACATCGAAGATGTTCTCGCCCTTTGCCGCCGCATCGACAACGATATGGCGGAAAACGATCGTGTGTGCCACCTGCTAAAAGGAATTGCGACTGTCGCTTTTAATGCGCCTGTGGTGCAAAATCCCCAAACCGTAGCCGATGTTGTCGCTACCTGTCAGCGCCTTGAGGAGCTTCAGACCACTCGGGTACAACCTGATATGTCTGATCTGAGCTCAAGTCATGATACAACAGAGCTGCGTGCACTGATCCGCTCTATCATCCGCGAGGAACTTCATGCACAGGCTTCACCTCGCCACCTCGATATCCGAACGACGCCACCCGCTACTAGTTTACGCGACGTCGTGAGGGAGGAACTGGCCTTGATGACTAGTACACCAGCTCCAAGTTCACATCCCATGCCCAGTTATGCTCACGTTGCTGCAACGACACCTACGCCCCACCAGAGCCTGGCCTCGATGACTGTCACACCTGTCCCGAGCTCATATCCTGTGGCCATGCCAACGTATGCTCAGGTTGCTGCTAGGACGCCTGCACCCCAGCAAAGCCCAATGCAGCTACCAGCGCCCGAAGTGCATGGTTCGCTCAACTCACTCGCACCGCGACCATCTTCCTAGCCTTGCAACGCCTGGCGCAGTTCGCGGCCGACTTGCTTCTATTGCAGCATCCATGGTCATATTTCAAGGTTTTGCCGACGCCGTCAGCAAGACGAACGACGA